GTTCAGCAAGGGTTTAGGGTTTTGGTCCAGGGTTCAGTCTAGGGCTGCTAGGGTTTAGCGTCTGGGGTTTAGCAAGGGTTTAGGCGGTATGTTTTGTGTGAGCGCAGAACCGCCCTTGCGGGTCCGGATAGTTGCAGGAAAAAGCATAATGATTTCCCAGTCCCCCTCAATGCCAAAAACGTGGAAGCTCGACCGGCGGGGGCGTTGGAACCTGCGGCCGTGCATAGTCGCCATCAGTTGAGGCCAGAGGGTTTAGGGATGGGGGAAAGGGGTTTTCCAGGCTCAAGGCTTCGGACTTGGGGCGCCAGGGTTTGGTTTCGGTGTTTCAGGGTTTCCGCAAAGAAGGTCACCAAAAGCAGGGCTTACAGTCCTCAGGGTCTTGGAAGTTCGCAGTGGGGAGTTGCGGCCACGCACAGACCGTCGCAGCCGCGGTAAAATCTGGCCTCACATTGTTCCGCCGATGTGCTCAAAACTGACATCCCCACGCAGATCCCTTTGTCAGAGTAATTTTAATTAGATCACAGGATGGACGGCATAGCCTTCTAAGTAGCTCTTGAAGGAACTCTGCAAACCCCAAGCCCTGAACCCTCGACAACTTGAGTGCGGAGCGTCCTGCAACTTTTGAGCTTCATCCCAGCTCCGGCCGACGTTCCCTTTGTACACACTCGTGAGCTTCATCCCAGCTCCGGCCGACTTTACCTTTGTACATGCATATCGTAACGCTCAGGTGGCGTGAGTCCGATAACTGGAATACATGCATCGCAGAAGCCTCCGATGACAAGCTATGGTATCATAGACCGCGCTGAGCACACGCAAACCGTGAACAGAAGCCGAGAAGGGATGCTTTCCCGAGCACACTCTTCATGCACATGGCGATCTCGATTGGCTCTGGCACCAGGGCAAATACTCGCATAGGCTGTCGCCGCTTCGCTGCAACATCCGGCCCAGCCATCTGCTCGTACTTCTCGCTGAATGCCTCCCAGGAAGGAAGGAGAGTCCACTTCGAGGTCGCTTTGCGGGCTGCGGCTCGCACCAGACTTGCCAAGCGTCTTTCTGCTGCGTCGAATTCGGGGGAGAGAAGGATATGCCGCTGAATCAAGGTAGCTTGGTCATACCGGAAGGCCACACCACCCTGACGATTGGTCTCAGCGAAAACAACATCTACGATAGTGCCGCCTTGCAGGGTAGCAGTCCAAAGGATGTCCTCAGGAGGGGAAGCCGCATCAAGCACCACCCAAACATTGGCCTCGCTGATGTCGGCCACCACATTGTGAAGAAGGCCCAGAGGAAGGAGCTCTTGCCATTCTGCATCCTCGAACCAAACGGTGGAGAACCTCCAGTCCAGCCCCGTTGGATGCATGAGTGCTGCCTGCCTGCCCTCCAGGCGAACTTTCTTGGCCCGATTTCCTTCTCGAATCTGGGCCATGGCAAGAGCAACTTCACCCAGATCCTCAGGCACCTCGCTGGCCAGCAGCGTGTTCTCCAAGTAAGCGTTGCATTTGTTGGCATACTGCTTCGCATGTTGGAACTGGATCTCCGCTTGGAGACTGGCATCGCACTGGATGATGGCATCGGCCGCAGCAGCTGCGGCATCCACTACCGATTCCACTCTGCGCAGCTTGGTCCCTGCTTTGACAGCCTTGTTCCTCTTGGCCAAGAAAGCGACCTCCGTGTCCTGGCGACTCATGCGAGCAAAAAAGAAGCACACGGCGAATGCTCGAGCAGCCGTGACGCATAGGAAGCAGCACGAGCCCCGCGCGGCGTGCAATACAATATTTCGTCCGGAGCAGTTATGAAGGCACTGCTGTTACATATTTTCGCCCTCCACAAACAAAGAAGCAGCATGTGTCTGCTCACTTATAAACAGGAACTTGCTTAGAACCACCTAGAGGTCGCCCCAGACCCCTCCCTAGCAGCCCGCGGTCCTCGACTATGTTGCGCTTGACACCCTTGTCCATTCGCTCAGTCTGGCTACTGTCACGGGGCATGCCATTGCCTAGCAAGGTCCAGGCAACCTGAGCAACCTCTGCGATGTGGGCTGCCTCGGTTTTATTCCAGTCCGCGAAAATCTTCACCTCTGACAGCAAGAGATCTGGATTCATATGCTTCCTGGCAGGGCTTGTTTGCTTGGCCACCTGGGAAAACAGCTGCTCCACGCCGGCCGTGGATGCTCCTTGAAAAGTGCCGTACTTGCACAAGGCACGGAGCAAGTTTGCGCAGGGATACTTGTCTCGTATCGACTTTCTCTTTTGCGTCTTTCGCAGTGCGCTGCTCCAAGCCGCAAAAGCGTCAACCTGCTGCGAGACAACCAGGTGCTGCGCCATTGGCCGGTGATCCTCCATCTCCGAAACGAAGTCTTCGAGACTCAAGTCAAAAACCTGAGCCAGTCGCTGTGCAGAATTCGCCAGGAACTCTGTCCTTTCATGCTGCACGTCTTCGTCCTCCTGCATGCGGCTTGCGGCAGGTTTCAGCTCGAAGACTGAGAAGGCACTCAACACGTCCCAGCCCGGAAACTCAGAGGCAAGGACCTCGCCCAGCAACCGGATCCACACCTGCAAGTGCTTCCTGCACTCGGCCTTCAGCGCTGGGCTGATGCGGCCAGGGCCTCCAAGACTGAACGCCCGGCTGTTCACCACGTACCCGTGCGAAGTCTCCAGAAAGCTCACCATGTGGGACGTGTACCCGGGAATCTTGTACACGCCGTCCTGCAGAAGCTTCCGGGTTCGATTTCTTTACTCAGTACAACTGCAAAGCCTAACATTACCCTGCTGCTGCTACGGCAGCTCCTCGTTGAAAAGGAAGTGGAGCCGCGACATATAGACCTGGAGCTCCGTGGCCACCACCGCCAGGTCGTATGACTCCGTGTCAAAGACACGCAGCAGACGCACGCTTTCGTCGCTGGCGTCAGCCAGCAATGCTGCCAACAAATACTCCCTTTCGTGCATGTGCTCCAGAAAGTCCGCGGCCTGCTGGCCTTCGAGTTTCTGGCTGCGGTGAACCGTGAGCCAGATCGCCGTCTTTAGAAGGCTGTCCACGTGCAGCACTGCTCTCCCCAGCGGCTTAGATAAGCTGCTGAAGCGGTGTTTCGCGTGCCCCAAATTGCGAATCTGAGTCGCGCTGACCGGGCACTTCGATGACTCCTTGCAAAAGGCCTGGAATACTTGGCTGATGTGAGGCGAATACTGGACCTTGTGTGCAATAGACTCGGAGCCAATAGCGAACTTGTCCAGGATGTCACGCAGAGTCGCGCTGGCATGCCACGGCCTGCTTAACAACCTGGCAGGGCCGCAGCAACAGCATAGACCGAATCGACACGGAGCTATATCACCAGCACAGATGTGCTATCACCACTGCCACCACTACGGCTGGGAGGACGAACACAACATACAGTATTACTAGGAGCCGTAGTAGCACAGCTACGATTACTGCAGACGACTGCTACTACTACTACTACTACTACTACTACTGCTACTACTACTGCTACTACTACTACTACTACTGCTAGTACTACTACTACTACTACTAGCCCTTTGCTTCATACCCATGATTTTTGAGATGCGGCCTTAACCTACAGACTCAGCAGCCAGCCTTTGCGATGCGTGAGCTCGGTCTTTGGACACGAATCGCAAATTCTGAAAGTACCGCTGCGAGCGGAGGAGCTGGCCCGTCAGCTGCTCATCCGACGCAGCATCTGCCACGTACATCTCGACGCTGGCCCGCAGGTGCGTGAGGAGTGCCGTATTCAGAACACCATCTAAGCCGGTGCAGAAATCTTCCAGCATGCCCTCTATGCAATCTTGAAGGCCAGAGGCGCCGCTGGATGTGCCCAAACTACGATACCCGAGAAGGCCTCGCCGAGTGATGAGTTCATCGTTGCAAGCCCGGAACCGCAGAAGCAACATGTGCTGACGGGCATCCGCAAAAATCGCCACGCTGGTCGCGTCGGCCAGGAAGGCTCGGTCGATCTCGAACATGGCTTGCCCCAGCGCAATCTCCATGGAAGTCGTCTTATGTTGGCCACCCAGTCCCTTGATGCCGTGCCTCAAGGCTGTCCCTTTCAATCGATTCTCGGCCACCCGCTGAAAATCCGCGGCCGCTGGCGCGGGCACCTCGTCCCTTTCCGGGCATAGGCCCATAGAAGCTAGCGCGCTCTGATGTTGGCTGCAGCCGTGGTGGCGGCTGAGGTTGCCGAACAAAGTCGTGACAACGCCACTGGCAAAGCGGTTCGTCTGCTTGGTTTTCTCACAGGCTCGGCACTTTAGCTTGAACAGACCGTCGTCCCTATCAAGATAGCCGTGCAGCCACGATACTCCCAGGTCTCCCATGGGCAGCTTAGCCTCCCATTCCTGGCGGTTCCGTATGAAAACACAGCGGGCACAGCCCTTCACCTTGCAGGCCGCCCAGTGCGCGGCGTCCGCATCGATCACATTGCTGCTGCTTGCTTCCTCGGCGGGAGCATTTTTTGGAACACTCCTGGTCTTTGCCGCGACTGCACTTGACTGCGTCTCGTCAGGCAATCGACACGTAAAGCCAGGAATCATTGCGTGGCTTCACCACTAACTGCTAACCTCAAACCCGGAGGGAGGAGTAGCCCTGAGCCGTGAAAGATTTGCATCACACGTACACAGCATATGTCGCCTACTGGGACCATGTCGCTCGCGGCACACAGCGCATGAAGAGCTGGGCTTGCAATTGCATCTATCAACTTCTGAGCAGCGACGAGGCAGCCACTAGGATTCTCTTCTGTTTTCTCTGAAGATGGCCCTTACATGTTGTCACATAGACTTGGAACGCCGGCCGCCCGCCCTGTCCGTTGGAGGCTCAGCATCCGACGCATCATCGCACTCTACATCTTCGTACTCCACGAGGAACCCTCGACTGTACAGTTCCTCGAAAACACAGATTAGCTCGTCGTTCGCTGTTCTAACAAGGCTCTCCAAGTCACACATCCTAGCATACAGCAGTGGAGAAGGAATCCAACCAATATCTGTGGACGTTCCATGCAGAACAACCTCACGGCCACATGGTGTCTCACCGCACCCAAGGACAGACGATCGGAGGCCTTTATCTTCACGTACTCCACGGAGGGGCGCTGCGCACGAACATCCAACATCCACCTGAGGATGGCAAGTGCTTCCCATGATCAGTGCGGCGCACTGTATTCTTGCTGCTCTTGCAGGGTTCAAGCTTCCGGACGCGACTGGGCATGGCTTTCTGGGCGAGACCTACAAAACTGGAACTGTGCTCTGAAATGGCAGCTCCTGGCGAGGGGAGACAAGGGGTACAGGCTCCAACTGCACCGGTCCCTGGTTTTAGCGGTCGAGGGTGCCTTCGCCCCTTTGTGGCAGTTATCTTGCTGACGCTGAGTTACCGTCTTCAGGGTCTGGTGACAGTGTTACTTACGTTCCGTGAGGACGGTTCAATATGGGGTTCAGGTTCAGACTTCTTGTTTGCACGATAAAACATGAGCCCTTCAAGGACAAACCCCAAACCGGACACTAGGAACCCTAATGGTCCCCGAGCTTGGCATCTCTGAATAGTGATCTCCACGTCCCCTTAAGCCCAGGAGCTGTCTAGGGCCTGGAGCAAACTCCAAAGTTGAGAGTTCTAGAATGTCAGTGCGACAGCGTCTCAGATCCTACGGTTTCACGACAGCCTGGAGCAAGTCTGAGAAAAACATGTGGGAAGGGCTTCGTTGGCTGACACCGAGCCTGACGGTGTCGTCTCTTAATTAAACTTCGTGTCTGCCCTTCTGCCTGGATCAGCGCCGTTTGCGAAGCGCCACATCAGATCCTGCCTTGCCAGAGATTAACGTGTCGGTTTCTGTAGAACTTCTCTGGGCTTCCTGTGACCCCTCACTTCTGCACCACTTCCGAAGGGCACTTCCGAAACCAACCCGGTTTCGGAACCGGCACTTCCGAAGTCTTGTTTCTAGTGGTTTTCCAGCACACAACATGTCAAGAGGGGGTCATAGCAAGGCTGGTCTGTGTGGGAAACTGACTTCGACCTCGCTGTGCATTTGCGGAAACCCACATGCCTGGACCCTGTGCCAAGCCCTGACTACAGAACGGTTTGAGATCTGAAGTGTGCCCAGGCTGGCACCTTGCGCCGGCATCGTTGCGGAACTGGTCCGAGACCTCAGCGAAGCGTCACTGTCTCTCCACATGTGAAGTGGCTTTGGCTGGGCTTCATGTTGTGTGAAGAAGCAGTCGTTCCGCGCAACATTCCGCAGCCCCGCAGGGTCCATTGCAACATGGCAGGATCTGACCGAAGGGCAGCAGCAGCAGCATGATCATGAGCAGCACATAGGAACTTAGACGAGCAGCAGCACGGGCACCAGCAGGGGCAGCAGCACAGGCACCAGCACGGGCACCAGCACAGGCACCAGCACGAGCACCAGCACACCAGCAGGGAGACAGGCAGCACTAGCACCAGCAGAAAAAAAAAGCAATGAGCGGTGGAAGCAGCGGCTCAGGGCAGGGCTGGTCGGATGGCTACTCCGACTACTCCTACAACAAGTACCACCAAAAATGGGTGGACAAGAAAGAAGAAAACCAGCGCAAGAGGGCGACTCCCTCTGGGCAAGCCGCAGCAGCCGGAGACTCCAGGAACCAAAAGCTCCTGAACAAGCTGAAGGAGCAAACACAGGCGACCGAGCAGGCCAAGGCAGAGCTGGCTTGCATTCGCATGCCAAGGGGAGGGCGAGGGAGACACAGACAGAAGACGGGTAGGAGAGGATAAAGCGACGCTAGGAAGAAGCGGCAGGGGCGGGGAGAACGATTCACATGCCAGGCCGAAGCATCAAAGTACAAGCTCGAAGAGCGCGATGCAGAGGCTGGGAGGGAGGGAGAGAGAAAGAGAGATTGTGCAAGCAAGCAAGCAAGCAAGACACCAGGCGAAAGTGGCAAATCTGCGAGCCTACGAGGTGTCCGAGGCGGGCAGACCTCTTGGATTTCAGAGGAACAGCGATTGGGAAAGACACAGACACAGCAGAGGCACGCAGCCATGAGCAAACGCAGCAGTTGCTTATGCGAACAGATGTCGGACACTCAGCAATGGCGACAATTTATCTGCTGTATTCCGAGATGTGTAAACTGAGGCCTACCGGGTCGGGAACCTGGCGGAATATCGGACAGCCAACTGCGAGAAGGCTAGGAGAAACCGTTTGGAGCTGATCGATCTGGCTTAGCAAGACTCGACGACAAACATCCCAGAAAAATGAAGCAATCCTGGAGGAGGCGGCCCTCGAAGCCAAGGAGAGCATGAAGAAGCTTCTGTCCATGCAGGAGGCGCTCAGATTCTCTTAGATAAAGCTTCCGTGCTGAACAACATGTGCAGGTGAGCTTCCACGAAGAGGTGAAGCGAATGGAGGCCACTGGATTCTCCATTTCCCCTTCTCAAGCACCCGGCACCATGCTGAAGGCGAGCGCAGCGACGGCCCAGAAGAGCTTCCACGAAGAGGTGAAGCGGACGGCGGCGAAGGACGAGGCAGGAACCGGGTAAGTTGCGGTACGTATTGAGCTGAAGGATCCGTGCACAGGAGAAGACAACCGAGTTGCGGGCTCTTCAGCGCGAGATCGAGGCAAGCGGAGCCCAGATGAGAACAGCAACTAAGCAGCAGTGGGAGTGTGAGTGACTTGCAGCGATTCGGAACCCAAAGCTCTCTCAGGAATTGCAGTCGTTCCGGCAGCTCGACCGAGACGCCGCCGTTCTCCGCTCCGACAAGGACGGGAGCTTAAGCGCTCCGCAACAATCCTACTGGACAAGCTACAACACACAATCAGGCGCGGCTGCTGGAAGCGAACCAGCGGCGCCGCAATGAGCACCAGGCCCTTAGAGCCGAGCATGAGGCCGGGTGTGGCCTCTTGAGTGAAGCCAAGAGCGACCCAGCCAGAGACAGCGCAGGACCATCTACGGCTGCTGAAAGAAGAGTTGGCGGAGAAGGTCGGGTTCTGCTAGTGCCCTGAGAAAGAAGACCTAGCAAATCCACGGAGGACAAGAGACTCCGAGGGATGGAGGAAGCTCAAGAGAGCAGAATCGCCACAATGGCGAGGATCGAGGAGTCCGTCCAGGAGATGGAGCATCATACCGTGGACCTGCTGGTGGGGTTCAAGGTTTAGGGCAGGGCTTTACCTCAGAGGTTTTCAACATGCACATGAACAGGCGACGAAGATCAAGCTTGAAGAGGAGGTCCAGACCTCCCGGGAAGATCAGGTGGGCTTCCAGTGCGACCCAAATTCAAAGCAGGGCTTGTGGTCGAGATACTGATGTAACTGAGGAGCGATTGGCGGAGCTGCAGGTGGGGCGGTCTGAAGTGTTCCGGGACTTACTAAGAGTCACGAAAGCTGCTATTCGACAGGACCTCCAGCTGACTTTCGACCTGAACGTTCTGGCCAGCTCAGTCAGACCATTTGTGCACTCTGAGAAAGGAGCCCAATTGAAGCAAACCCCATGCCAGGAACGGACACGTTCTCTCCATGAGCGGGCACAAGCTTTGCAGCTCTCTCGGGACTTCCTTGAGGCAGAGAGGGAGAGAGAGGGCGAACAGCGCTGGCTGGCAGAGGGGTTTGCCCCGACCCACATCAGGACGCAGCATTGCGCTCGCAGCTCCGCGCTGAAACAGCTTCCCAAGAAATGAAGGCTGGATGTGGGGTCTTCCTTTAGGCGACAATTGAATACGATGGATTTCGTTGGAGGCCACGGAGAGAACTGCGGCTGACTTCCAGGCTGAACAGGCGGTCCCACACCAGTGCTCTAATGTCTCAGGCGCCTCGATTCGTGTTTCGTGTGGAGGCTCTGGAGATCCAGAGCCTCCGCGCTTCGCTGGAGACAGCGGAGTTTGAGGAGGTGGATTTTGTTGCACAATGATCATCATCAACGTCTCCTCCTCATCCTCACTGGCATCATCCGCGTTCTTTTCATCGTCCTCCTCAGCAGCACCACAGCATCACCACCATCACAAGCAACATTCGCGCGACTTAGTCTCGTTGGCTGTTAGTGCTTTTCTAGGTTGCGCAAAGCCTTAATCTTACTTTGCGATCAGCCTGCCAGGAGCTGATCAGAACCGCACTTCGGCAGCAGCTGTTGGCCACGTCGCAGCGGAGCCCTTTCAGTCCTATCCCGACCACAAGCCGCCTCCCGACCGAATTCGAAGCCGCCCCAACTTCGCCGGTGTCTCCCGCTGCTAAGCTGAACCATGCTTCTAGAATACATGTGCATGCAATGTGAGTCTACAGAGTGAACTCAGGCTCCGGTCCCTACAGAAGTGCCCAGCGAGGAGGACCCGTGATTCAGTGAGGCCCCGACTGCAGTCAGTCATCCAGGGAATGATAACCTCAATACTTCAACGCAGGCCGTGGTGACTGATGATTGCTGCTCACTGGCGACTTGGACTCGCAGAAGTTGATTTTGTAGCAGTACACAGACTATACTCCAATAAGCAACACGACGCAGTGGTGCCACTTCCCATCTGAGGCTCATCATGCAGACGCTGCATATCTACTCCGGCTGGGCAAGCGGCTCTCGACGATGACAGATACTTGGCCTAGGAATCGGCTGAACATGCTGGCTTCGATTATTTCTCAAGTCATCCAAGGACGTGTTGCCTCCTTCACTCAGAGCAGCGCAACAGTCAACAAAAGCTTCAATGCAGATTTCCCTGATGATCGCTGATCTCTGAGAGGGGCCTTTAGCTCTACTTGCTGCACTCCGTCCGCAACAAGCCGTAGCACCTATCACACACTCCTTGCATCCTGTAGCACCAATTCGGAGTGTGGAAAGCTTCGCAGCCTTTCACTACTGTAGCTTTGCTTCAATCCTTAGCATGTCCTGTCGCACCTGTGGACAGCCACACTAGGGCCCCCAACACATGCACATAAGCAAAACTCAGGATAGGGATGTCGTATCTGAACCGCTTGATACTGAGCCAAATGTGGTCGGGATATACTTCTACAACGGCTTATGCTTACGTGCTTTTTGGTTGCCCCATACACTGCTATACACAGCCCTACACTGCAGACACTCAAAAAAGTTCACAGGTGCTCTGGGCTTGCTACGTGTGCACGGCTTCCCTTGACGGCCTCGGGAGACGAAAATTGCACGGCTTACTGAGAAGACGATCCGAAAATTGCAAGGTCAGGCGGCAGCTTAACTGGAGTGTCGTGTGCGATCGTGCTCAGGCTGTGAAGTTCCGGCCGATGCCTTCTGAGGCTGCGGCAATGATCGGTGCATGCATGCGCTCTCTCGCTCTCTCCCTCTCGCTCTTGTGCAGATCATGAAACTACCTTGAAACGGTGTCGAAGTCGAACAGAGAGCGAGAGCGAGAGCGAGAGAGAGGTTTGCGCCATCACGGCGCATGCGCCGTCGGCTGTCGTCGTCTTCTGCGCCGTGATGGCGCACTCGTCGTCTGTGTCGTCTGCGCCATCACGGCACATCTTTCGGGTCCTAACACGCGATGCTCTTATACTCAAACTTCTCCCAATTGTTTGATCTGCGCCATCACGGCACATCGACTCGATCTGCGCCGTCACGGCACATTTGACTTTGCCTTTCGCAGGCAAAGTTCACCTCTTTCGGGTTCTAACACGATGCTCTTTCTCAAACTTCTCCCAAATTGTTCCTTCTGCGCCATCACGGCGCATTCACCACTCTGCGCCATCACGGCACACTGCCTTTGCCCTTCGCAGGCATAGTTCACCTCTTTCGGGTCCTAACACGATGCTCTTTCTCAAACTTCTCCCAATTGTTCCTTCTGCGCCATCACGGCACATTTTCGTCGTCTGTTTTGTCGTCTGCACCATCACGGCACATCTGTCGTCGTCTGCGCCCTCACGGCACAACTTAGCTCCGCGATCTTCTCCCCGTGCTTGCCTGCAAGGCCCTGAAAAGACGCGGGGTTCGGGACTTTGGGGCCATGGGGCTGGAAGATCAATTACACATACAAAGTTAGAAAGTCTGGGACTGTAGGATGCTCGGTTTTAGGGTTTATATAGGGCATATGGGCTTTCTAGCTGCATTGGCCTTAGTCTGAAACATGGTGCGTATGTGTGATGTCCGCGCATGTCCATGTGCGATGCACAAGCATGCTCACAAGAGTACTAGTACTCTTCTGCTATGACAAACAAATGCAAACCTAAAAATCAATCTTCAAGCTTTGCCGCAAGAAACTCAAAAGAGGTTTGCTCGACATGTTGTTGGTGAATCTACTCTACAACCCTTGTCTTGCTTTCGACCTAGGAGAAATCCGGTTGAAATCAAAGCTAAACAAACGGCACACGCAGTTTGTTTTAGTGGCTCTAGCTAGGCTCTTGGCTCGTGGTTTTATTCTGCGATATTTAAATTTCGAAGGCAAAAGTTTTCGTCGGTTTCAGAGCTTTTCTCAACACGCATAGAAGCTGTCTTTGTTTTCCAAAACACAGTTTTCCAGACAACTCGGGCACTAGTCGGGCTGTCGTTTCGTAGTGTTTCGTTGGCAATTTGCAATGATATCTAAAGTACCGCACGTGTACACCCCGCCCATGACTCAACTCCATCTTTTTCTTTCTCATCTGCCTGGAGCAGACCAACAACTTACCAATATCCTTTGAAGCCCAAGCCGCTACCTCATTCCTTCATTCCCGACTGAGCATCACCAAGTATGTCAACCTCCGCTTGCTACGCAAGTGTTTGGAGGACAGTTTGGCATTAGTTGGTTATGATAACTAATTGACCTCTTTGTGTTTGTTTGTATGTTGTACCAAAGCTGGGTCTCTGACATTGAATCTAATTTTGTTGTGTTGTGCAAATTCTGTGTCAGTTGGTACTTGTCTGGTAATGGTCAGGAAGCTTGCTGTTGACATCATGTGGTATTCGAACTCGCAGTTGCGAGCGAGTTGTTATTTCTTGCAAAGTTAGGGTTGCTAGGTTGTTCTTCTGTGGGGTATGTATCACCGAAGTCTATGGCACAAACACCTGTGTTGAAGACATTATGGAACGTTACATTGGCATCGGCTGTCTTTCTATTGTTGATTACAGCCATCATGATATTAAGATAGAGAAGCAATATCTTAATATCGCTTGCAATGGCCTATGATTTTTTGTCCTTTGCTTGTTGGCATTGCTTCGTTGCCCTTCAGTTTCATGTCTTGAAGTATGCTCTCTGTTTTGCTGCCAGCACGCCTGCTCTGTTTGTGCTCTCTCTTGTTTGTCCCCATCGCTTTTTTTCCTCTGTTTTGGTTTCGTAGTGTTCCTTCTTCAGCAAATAATGTGGGACCAGCCCTGAACCCTGACGCTCAAACCCTCCACCTTTCTGCTTCCAGGTGGTGCAGCCAGAATTCGAGCTTGAACGACTGCGGAAGGAGCATCTCGACTTTCCTTGGTCTCCGAACCCTGAGCGCGAGACGTGGACAGTTGACAGAAGAGGGGCGATCAACACTTGAAAGGCGCAGCCCGGACAGAAGCAGGAGTTCAAAACAGATCGAACCCGACAGTCTCAAACCCTCAGCCATAAACTCTCTGAGATCGCGAGCTCCCAGCCCCAAAACCTAGAGCCTGTAAATGTCCATGCGCCCTCTGAAGACTCCGAGGCTTGAGACAGTGAGGGCCACCGCCTCAGCTGAGACCTTGGCCGCTGCGCGCAAGGACCTTTCATTGCCTGGGGGCTCAATTAAGAAAGGCGTGATTGTGCAGAGTAGTTTTGTTAATGGTGATGTCCCCTTCTGCAGGAGCTGCTGAAGGAGCGGCAGCGGTGGGACGTGGAGAGCCCAGATCAGGTCAATGCAGCTTTCGTTGCCCGCCCGTCGCCTTTCTAGCCAGTTGTTTCCAGCCTGGGAACGGGAGAAGCCTTGCATGCACAGCTCAGCCTCTTGCTCTGAGGCTGAACGAGCGGAGCTGCAGCGCAGCCTGGAGGACATGGCAACTTTAGATCCTGATCGTGCAGCACTGCGCCTCAGGTGGTTGTAGCCTCTTTGAATCAGACGGCAAGTCGTGAGCTGTCGATGGGAACTCTGCAAATCATGTGACAAGTTGTGACAGGGTTGAAAAGTGGGCATTGACGGGCTGCATCTCTGTGCACTTTCATGCCTTAGCCTGACCCTTGCAGGAAGCCGAGCGGAAATCCGATTCGAGAAATGTTGAAGGCGAGAAAGGGTGAGCTCACTAGCTGGGCTACCGCACCCGGCATTTGTTTCCGACCTTTGGAGACCCAAAGTCCTTGAGTTTTCTGCAGGCGCAGCCCAGCTCGACCTTTTGTCTGCCGGGCAGTGGCTGGCGCAGCTCCTGGAGCCCCAGGCGGAGAGCCGGAAGTCTCCAGAGGCCCAAGCCAGCTTGAAGACTGTGTGGCTTCGCCCCCCGATCCCCACCGATCCCCAGGTTTTGCTGGACTTGGCGGGTGCCTGGACCCCCCTGGCACATGAGCTGCCGCGGCGGCAAAGAGGGTGTGCCACAGGCTCAGCTTCTGTCAGCAGGCGGAAAGGACAGGGTCTTTTTTGATATGTATAAGCTTTTCTTCCATACGTTGGGCTATGGATTGGTCACTCATTCACTCTCTTACTCTGTTACTCTCTTACCTACTTAGCTACCTACCTACCGACTCGCTTACAAACTTATCAGACTATGGCAGCAATCGGCCTGGAGACAGCGAAGGTGCACTCCCTTCACTTCGGCATGTTCTTCGGAGATGACAGGAGCGCGAGCCGGAAGATGGCACTTCGTACCGGGGATGTCCGTGTGTGTTACCGACGACACCTCTGCATAGGTTAAGAGAACCTATGCACTAGGACGAAACTGCGAGAGTTGCGAGGCAGACTCCGCTGAAGCTGTCGTCTGCGCGGCTATGTCCAGAGGCAGGGCATAACGGGCAATTCCACGTCAATGGTAACCTGGATCCGATGCGCTGAAGGCACTGTCTTGGGCTCCTTCCAGCACCGAGGCAGGGACTTTACCCAAGGGTCCGTGCGCGAAAAGCCGCTCCAGCTCCTCCTCCTCCTCCTCCTCCTCCTCCTCCTCCTCCTCCTCCTCCTCCCTCCTGCCCCCTTGTGCTCCTGGTTCCCGATGGTCATGCTCCTGCTGCTTCTGCGGTGCTGCTACCGTTCTGGGATTCTGACAGCTATTTCAAGCCTTGCCTATTTGCCAAGCAGGGGTGGCTGCAACCTCAACTCGCTGTCACAAGTATTCCCGGTGAAGACAGCCCTTCGAGTAATTCATGCCGGCTGCCAGGCTTTTGCTGCAGGAGCCGTGTGCATGTGTCGAGTTACTGCCTACTGCCGATCTTGTGGCACAGCTGCTTCCACCAGACCAGGAAGCGGCATCGACAGGCCAGCCCTTCAAGCAGACCTGTGCCAAGCACTGAGGACCGGAAGCGAGCAGCTTGAATCCCAAAGGTGCCACATGATCTGAAACAATCGGCACCTTCCCAAGGTCGTGCGCACGAACGATTTCTTGCGGACGTCTTCTTGCCATGGGCAAAGGCGCAGGAGAAGGGTCTGTAATTCCGCTGGCCGCTAGCTCACACGCAGACGCAGACGTAGTGACTTCAGCTTCAGGAAACCTCGGAGAGCCGGGGCGTGGCTTGGCTGCTGTGCAACGATGGCGAGGCATTGCTAGCGCAGCGCAGCTGGATAAGCAAAGGCTGCATACTGGGAGGGAATGTCGAATGTCCTGTCGGGAAGGCCTTCACCCTTGGCCAGGCGATGCTGGCTTTCGGGAAGGCATGGCAGCCTTCAGAGTCAACAAACATTCGCTGCTGAGAGAGCCGATGCTTCGGCTTGGGCATTTCCTTCCATTTCAAGCGCTGGGCTCTTCGCTGCCAGTCTCGTTCCCAACGTGTGCAGGCTCCCGGATCCGACGAGAGGCGCAGGGGTGCTGGGGGTTCGCAGCGCTTCGCCGCGCTTCTGTGGCCGTCCGCGTGCCGTCAGGTGGCGCAGCCGCGTCCTCGTCGTCGACCGAGCCAAGTCCAACGAGTCCGAGCCGGCCGTGGAGGCCCCGCCCCGGAGGTCTCTGCCTCTTTTGACGTGAGGGAGAGGGGCGGAAGGATTGATTCCAGCGTGGGTGGTGTCAAGACTTTCCAGCATCGATTCAAAGCTGGTAGGTCTCGTCGGAAACAGGAAGTTCGATTGTGCTTCTCCCTGCTTAGCCGCCTCGGCAGGCCCTGGCACTTGCCGAGGGCGCTCGGCGAATGGTCTTCGACATGATCTAGAGACCTGCTCGGGAAAAATCGGAGGTGTCGCCTTCGAGCTGAGACTTAAAAAGGCGCGAATGATGAAGCCTCCGACTCCGGTCGAGTTCGGAGAAGACGTAAGACGCCATCGAAGGGGAGCCTTCGCTGGCCCACTTTCGGGGTGTGGCAAAGTGCCAGGTTGCTGAAATTCTACAACTCCAAAGACATTCGGCTGGAGGAGATCGCGTACGTTGCTATTGACGAGGCACAATTGAAATCAGAGTGCTCGGTCTGCACAGTTCCTCCGGAAGCCCGGGCAGGCTGACTTCCTCCTGACCCAGGGCTTCGATGACTTGTACAAAATTCTGGACCTAGTGGACCAGGATTCGAGGCCATCACATGATGCGAGCTGGAAACGAGCATCGGCAGTGGTGGAGTTCTCCCGTTTTCCGAAGGCACAAGCGCCAGATGCGCTACTCCTTGATAACTGCCCCCTGGCTTGAAGGGAGAAGTTGTAAACAGCTTCTCCACACGGCTCGCACGAAACTCCTCTCTGCATTCTGCATGTAATGCCACAGGTGCCCTGGAGGTTTGTGATGCGTGGCTGGAGCCGGCGAGCTCAAGAGGCCCAAAACGGAGTCCCCCATTTATGTTGTAGCCCCGAGTTTTAGGCATGGAGGGTCCACTCGATGTGACAACATGTTTCGCGAGCGGAGCCGTACTTCTCGCGGGCCACTTTTACCTGTGCGGGGGTGGCTTTGCATCCGTGAAGGAAAGGATTCTTCAACAATGTAAATCGTCCGATGCGCCGGCGCAAGAGGGCCGGGTCAAAGACAGTCGCGTGGACGAAGCCTTTCTCCAACTCCGACAGAAAATCAGCAGAATATCTTTCGAGTGCACCCTTCACGGCATATGCCTGGCCTTGCTGTGGTTCTTGTACGAGTTTGCCGCGAGACCAGGCCGAGCTCAAGCTATGAGACTTGCAGCTACCCTTTGTCCGTACTCGCTGAACGTACTTCTTGCCAGAGAGAAGGTAGAGCTGACAAGGAGGAACCTCCAGGTGTCCCAAGCGCTGTACATGATCACCTTCGGCATCTTTGTCTTGGCTGGATCGGTTCCAGGAGATGGCTACAATGCAACTGATCCGGTCGCTCTTCAGGCATTCCAACTGAGCTGTCGATTTTCAATGACGGTGTTCTTTCTGGATACAGCCTTGGTTGTTCCATGTCAATGCCTGGTGTCTCTGGCAGAGTGCTGGGCTTATACTCCAACCCGTGGTGATTCGGCGACTTCTTTCATCTTTGCCCAACTTGTGGTGGTGGTCATAAACGGACTGCTATCTCTTGCGTTGGAACTGTGTGTTCGATCCCACCTTCGCGCCTCACTGGCCTCGGCAGATGCAGAATCCATGGTGCAGGGCTTCCGACACGTGCTTCGCGGGATCTGCGATGGTGAGGTGCAGCTCGGCTTAGCACGATTTCGCAAGCCGTTCTTTAGTTTGTGGATGATTTGTGCTCAGGTTGCTCGACAGCAAGATGCAGATCTGCGGGGAGGGGAAGTGCCTCCAGCACCTTCTCATGACGGGAACCAGCCTCCAGGGCCGAAATTTCGTGGACCTGATTTGGGAGGAGCAGAAGCGGGAGTTTCATAAGTTTGTGGAGGTGAAGGGCTCCGAAGAAGCTGCGCCGGCCTGTCTCCGCGCCTCGCTCCGGGGCTCTTGCAGCATTCGCGTGGCGGTGGATCTTTTCCATGTGCCCTTGGAGCTCTATGGGGAGACGCATCACTTGTTCGCCTTTCGAGAGGACGGGGATCTGAAGGAGGTTCAAAGACAGGCTGTGGAAGGTATAGATGGACCGTCCATTTTCGAGAGGATGCCAGGGGCAGAGGCACCTTCCCACCCCTCGCATCCGTCGCACTCCCAGAGACAAAATGACGCGGGTTCCGCGTTTTCAGACAGCTCTGTTGGTGGTGGATGCGTGTTCTCGGCATACCCCTCCCTCTCAGAAATTACCTTGCTGGTTGACACGGCTACTCCGAAGTGTGACGTCCGACAAGCACATCTAAAGTACCGAGTTGATCACGAGCGAGAACGAGACAGAGAAGAGGGCAAAGAGGGCAAAGAGGGGGGCCAGGGTCTCCTTTCGTTGCCTTCTCTGAGAAAGCTGGTGCTTCCTCTGGACTGGGAGACGATCCGTTCTAGGGCCACGCGCTATGTGCGGAAGGCTCAGCAGGGCCGAAGGGAGCCCAAGAACATGCACGGGATACGGCTGAGGACACCGGAAAGTTCACGGAAGCTGGTCATTGCCAAGACCGCCACGTTGCTCCCTGCCCAAACGGACCCACCATCACTTGTATGGGTGCACCTCTTGGATTTCGTCGAAGATAGCTCCAGATGCAGGCAACCACCCGATCTCGCCGGCATTCGCGAATTTCGGTCCGCGACCGGCGTCAGCAAACCGGCAAGCGAGCCGAGCCTTAAATCTGGTCTCGAAGCGGTCGAAGTCCAGACTTAGACTTAGGATCTTAAAGCTTTAGTTGGGACCGCTTTATTCGGTGCCCGAGTTCCCGAGACAACCCGAAGAAGCCGTCCGAAAAAGAGCAAACAAAGGGATGCCATCTTGCTGCCTTTCGCAGTTTCCTCCCCACGATGACCGCTTCACCGAGGCCAGCATCACGAAGCCCTTGTGTGAGACTCAATGCTCCTACTGCTCGTCATGCCGCTATGCCGCTATGCTGTCGTGAAAACAGCATAACTCACCCATCGAGTGTTGTGTAGGTCGTTTTGTCGACAGGACTGAGGGGGGCGCTTGTCTTGAGAGCAACTGTTCAGGTGGAAGATTTTCCAAGAAGATCCCCGATTTAGGCCGGGAACGAGTCGGGATCACAAGCACTTCCTTGTAGATTTGGATTGTGGCGATCTGACAGGACGCTGAAAATACTGGAGTCCAGATCGCTTCACAGGCCGCAGGTGACCTGCCAGCAACAGCATCCGAGCGGGATTGTGGGAGCAGCGGGTGCCCTTGGCTAGGCAAACTGCTCCCACACCATGGTGCTGACGAAGGGGCGCTGCAAAGTGAGAATGCTGATGGGCCCTTAGCCGCCTCTGCATCTCTCTGAGGTGGCAGTTTGCATCGTGCATTGTCTGTTGATTTATCCGGTCCAAGGGTGCAGCTTGTCCAGAGAGACCTCGGGGAGGAAAGTCTCCGCCCGCCCCCTACAAACACTGCATCAACTCGCGAACGGTGTGTCGGTCCGCATGTGTGCCTCAGGCCTAGGCCAAAAGTTAAAGTTACCGTGGCCCGCACTTTACACCCTCACGCCCTACTGTACTTCCTTGTTACAGCCCCACCAAACCTCCCAAAGCCTTCACCCCAAGAACCCTAAGTCTGAAACCGACTGCGAAGCCGAGGTCGGGGGATGAAGCCGAGGCAGACCATGGTCTTCTGCAACACCCTCTCCTCTTGTAAGTCTGGGGCCTACTGGGGCCTGGGCCTGGGGTTGAGGGTGCGGGGATGTCCAGGCCATCGGGTCTAGAGAGCAGGGCTTCAGGGCCTAAGTGTTCGGGCTTGGGGTGGATAAAGTGGATACAGACTCTCTGGACTGCTTTGTGCTGTCCTGTTTGTCGGCAGGAGCCTCACACTGTCAGGTCGGTTGGCTACCAGCTGAAGGAGAAGTACAGCCATGTGCAAGAGCCGGAAGCACAGTGACAGTGGCCTGCGATCATGTCGAGTCTAGTCATAGTGTACCTTCGTACAATGCCTGGATGACTGATTGTAGCTGGTTTGCAGTACGTAGCTTGATAGTGCTCGCAGGGGCCTCCGACAGCTGCAGTGCCATCATTCGTCCAGGGACGCTAACCTTCTCAAACCGACGCTTCCATGCCTGTCTGCTTCATCAGTCTCGCTTGCACACCCGTTGGATAGTGGAAAGGAAAGTTCTTGTCTGCCATCTTCGCAAATATGCGCCAAACCAAGAATTCCTCACTGAAGCCAATGCAGCAGCTGCTAGGATTCGTATTACAGCCTTTGCTGATCTTACATACGCACAGACATGTGAAATCTAAAGGCCAAACGGAAGCTCGGAAGCCCCGGTCCCTCATTTTCTCAATGAAGACGGAGACTCCCAGGAAGATCGGCATGCTGCACAAAGAGATGCAGACAGCTCCTTTGCTGCAGCCTGCAGGGTTGAACTGTCAACTCCCCCGGAGGCATTAAACAACAAACCTGCAGGAAAACCAGTCATGCAGAGGGTAGACAGAGCCAAGGTCGACCGACGAGAGGTTCTGCGGAAGCCGCGAGCTCAATGGGTCCAGGCTGTCGGCGTCGAGGGATTGGGGTTTCCGGGTGTTGTTCGCGATGTTGAAGGTTCGCTAGGCCTTTGTCCAGTCTCTTCTTTCCGTGTAGTGAAGTGTCTTCTGAGCGGTCGATAGGACTGAGTGAAAGCCTGGCCCGAAGGGAGGGACGTTCATTGCAAACTTTTGCAAGCCCCGAGGTTCGTTGAAGGCGAGTACAATGTGCTGGTCACCACCGACCTGGCCCAGAGGGGTTTGGACCTCCCAAATTGCGAGCCCGGGCCTCGAACCACATCAGGACCAGTTCAGGACCGTCAACCAGTAAGTCCAGAGCGCACGACCGAAGCCCACGTGTTACAAAACAGAAGTTGCTTCCTGGCCTGGAGGGCGGTCTGCTGTGGCAAGGGGTGGGTGAGTGCAACGACGGTGTTGTCGGCGTGCGACTGCTGCTACCGGCCTGTGACTACTCCCTGCTGCCCCAAGAGCGCCAGCAGCCCGCGCGCCCTGGCATGCCCTGCCCCGCAGCGAGAGGCCATGACATGCAAGTTGAACGCAAGCCGAGGAGTGCTGTCCCGTTTGAGGCTGCACATAAGGAATGTCATTCGCCTCGGCACGCATTGTAAGCCGTAAGCATCCTTGGCCGCTATAGATACTTCTCGACAAACTTCCCTCAAACCCTTCTCTGCCTCCACCTCTTGAGCATCTTTTTTGAGCTTCAAGCTCAAAAGGTGGAGGGGGGCAACCTCTGGCAGAAGCGTTTTGAAGGAAGAACTTGCAGCTCACGAGATTCGCCTAACCAAATCCGAACAGCTCGAAACACGACTGCAGCACAACAGGGAGCTGCAGAAATTGGCGTCAAGGATGCAAGAGGAGATTTGCACCCGGAAGAAAGAAGAGGGCACTGTCGGGAGGCAAGTGCGAAGTCGACACAGAAGAAGATGTCCTGGCAGAATCGGACGGTGCTTTTCGACTCCAAGATGCTAAGCCTCGGACAAGTGCGCTGGCACGCCTATTATCCTATTGTTCGGAATATCCCGTGCCCTCATGCCTATCCGACTATCCATCAATCCGCTGCCGTGCTCTGGTAACACAATAGCGGGTGAAGAGCCGAGGCATGTTGTGAACTTCGACTTCCCACTCAATTCCATTGTGCGCGCCCCAGTGCAGGCCATGGTGGTGTTGACTGTACGCACTTGGGAAATCCAGTGGCCATCGCGAAAAGGGTCTGGCCGTAGCATTTCAAGCAACACAGCTCGGGAACTACACTCTCATGACCCCTTGTGTTCTGTGATACTGGTAGCAACTGTAGGCACAAGAAGGCTGTGAGTCGGAGTCGCCCGTCGGGGCGGGCCATGCGCGCGCCATGACTCACGGCGTGACAAAACCACGATGATCCCGAACTTGCAGCTCACCGATTCAGCTGCTGATGCCCCCGAGAAGCCGGGTACCAGCGCATCCCCAAGCCAGCCGAGTGGGGAGTCTGGAAAAGAGCATGTCAAATTGAGCCTCGGCTGCATCCGGCTGGTTTCGACTTTGTAGCGTTTTGCTATCTATATACGACCAACGAGCTTTCCTCAAGAGGCTTCGTAGTACATCTCCCCTCCCTCCAGCAAATTTCTCAAAGACAGGGCAACTGCGGCCGTCGGGTTTGTAACGACTTGACTCGCCGATGCCTTCAGGATGCATAATAGGCTGATTTGTGTGCGGCTCACCGCCTTCCCCTGCGGCCCGGGCCCGCGGCCCGCGAAACGCCCAAATCCGCCTTTACCCTCAGGATGGACCGTTGGCCCGACCGCGAGGTTTCTGCCCAAAGGCTGCGAGCCAGCATCCACCTTCATGGTGGTGGCAGAGGGCTCTGTGCGGAGGACGATCGCTTCGTGGCTGGCTGGCACGGGCTTGTTGAAAGGGGGCGGAGTATGGGGTGGCTGGGGAGAGGTTTCAGGAGGACTGGCAGCGGATAGGGATGCCTTGGCCTTGCCAAGATTCCGAGGTCCAGTTCCGCAAGGCCTTTGTGGATGCGGGGAGGGCCGCCTTGCCTTTCTTCCTGGGACGTGTGAAGATCGTGGTGCTCAGCAGCTCCTCGGTGTCCCAGGCCTCTAGGAGATTCCACGAATATTGTCATGGCGGTCGACTAAGATCTCAGGTTGCGGATGCCGGCCGGATCCGATGTGGCACGAGCAGCTCGCCCGAAGACACGCTGCATGGGAGCAGCAAATGACAGTAGCAAGCAATGTAGCAGGCCCCCGATTCTTGACTAATTGAGGCTCGGGAGCGTGACCGAAGTCGCTCCGCAGAGCCGTGCTGAAGCTGCTGCTGGGACTGCGAGTCATGTTCTCAGCACGATTCCGACGCAAACAGAAGTGGCCAACCTCTGAGGACTCGGCGCAGCTGTCCGAGCTGATCGATGCCGCACAGTGCGTCTGGGTGACAGGCGCCCCGAACTCCCGAACTGCACCCTCAGATGTCTCACGAAACCAAGAATCGTTGAACTGCTTCAAAGCCTTTGACGATCTCAATATGAGAGTCACATCACACGTCAGAAACGTTGGTCTTTCTTGGAGGTGGAGACCAGGGCCGGCTCCGCGGAGCGCTCAGCGGAACCGGCCTGGAGCGGGCTTTGCAGCGCCTGCTGCGTCGCGGCGGGGCCTTGGGCGGCTCCTCGGCGGGCGCCTCGCTGCTCTGCGCGCTCTGCCCGAACTTCGACGAGGTCATGGAGGGCTTGGATCTCGTCCCAGGCGGGCCGTGTTTGAAACACCGCCCAGCAACGATGCTTCCGCTTCTTGATTCTTTCAGGCGCCACCGTCCTGACCCACCTCTTCAAGCGCGGGCGCCAAGACCGGCTTGCAGCGGCCCGGTCGAATCTCCCTTCCTCAACTGTGTCAATTAAGAAGCATCCCGGGTCTAGCAGGACACAGCCTTCCGATCAGCTTTCAACGATAGCGCTGTAAACCTTGCAGTCAGCACAGGGGCATCTTTCGACCGCAGACCTAGCAACCTTGAATCCTAGAAGGCTCTTCGCAACCCGCATGCAGCAATATGCAGCAACGAACCGCGAGCTTCAAAAGAGTCCTGCGACCCAGACCCACAATGCCAACGCAAAGCATGACCCAAGCAGAATGTGGGAGTGTCCTAAAAGCCGAAGCCCTGAATCCATGTCTGATGCCCCAAATAATTCCTGAATTCTGAGATCCCAAAACCCTCAAACTTCAGCCCTAAACCTCCCCTCCCCTTCGAGGCCCTCGTCAGCTGCTTCCCGGGTCTCTGGGGCTTCGGCCTCGACGAGGCAGCCGGCTTGGTCTGGAGCTCCGAGACGCTCCGCGTCAGCTGCTGGCAGCTCGGTTCGGCTCGTCTCAAGCCTTGCTTGTTTTTTTTTCTTTCGGGGCTGGGTTTGTTGTCAGACAGGGTATCGCCTGTGTCGCATTCTTTGCTGTTTTTGTTGGGTGGAGGTGTCTCTGCGTCCTGAAACTCCTGTCAGCATCAAAGCCTCCAGCCCAATCCAAGACACATTCGAGGTCCCCGGTGCTGGTGCTGCGCAACATCGACGGCCAATGCCTCGGGGCTCTCCTGCAGCCGGGCTTCCGTGGAAGCCTCCAGGACTGAAAGCTCTGCCGAGTTGGTCGGTTGAAGACGACTCCCAAATCCCACAACCCTCCACGCCCCGCAGCAGGAGGTCGAGCAGCAGATGCAGGAGCTGGGTGCGATGACTTGGCAGCCCGAGATCATCCAGCTACCAGGATGCCTGTGGAGCATGCGGCACGCAACGACGCAACGACGTGCGGGCAAGGGCTTTTCCCTTCTCCCCATGTCTCCCGTCACTGTAGCTTGGAGGAGAGGAGCTGTGGAGCCTGAATTGGGCCGCAAAGCAAGCGCTGGTCGACGGGCCGATTGAGGATGCCCGGGCCCTCTTGATGGGGGCCTGCGGCTGGAAAGAGTCCTTCTGACTGCCCCGAGTCCGAGGTCCAGACGAATGCCGCCTTCAAGGATCTTGAAGGCCACCTGGCCCATCATCTGCAGTTTGCTTGATTTGAGGCTCGCCAGCGAGTGCCATGGCAGGTCACCACTTTCTGTCATGGAAGATTCCTCCTCAAGAGGACTCTTCCGGCATGAAACTCTGTGAGCCGAGTAGACAGCCTGTCCGATCTGCGCGGCAGGAGGAAATGCAGGCACTGTTCTTCAGCAGCTTTCTCAGCTGTGGATGCCAGTTCTCATGCAAATCATGCATTGTCTTGCTGCCTGCAAGGTAGCCACTGCTACTTGGAAGTCTCCTTCGTGCCTTGGTTGGTGAAGCTATGACTCAGTTTCATACGACGGCCGTGTTAAACTGTTTCGACCCGCGACGGGTTTTCGCTCTGCCATTGTCTGACTCGCACGCCAGAGACCTACATAAAACTCGAAGCCGAAACCCATCGACTACCATGCACCACGCTGAACCCCTCCTGAGCCACAAACTCCTAGGTCCTAAACCCAGACACCGGTAAGCTCTAAGACTCTAAGCCTGTAGGGCCTGTAGCCCAGGAGCTGGAGGACTTGCCGCTGCTCTGTCAGCTGGCGCTGGTTCACCGGACGGCGCCCCCGGGCCGAGAGGGCCTCGAAGGTGCTCGGCTGAGGAAAAGGGGGGTATGCCAGGATTTTTGGGATTCTGGGGTTTTCGGTTTGGGGGTCTGGGAATCTAGGGCTTAGGGGGTTAAGGGTTCAGAGCGGTGAGGTTTAAGGATAGTTGGGAATTTTAGGGGTCTGGGCGGGTGTATATTTCTTCTCAGATCAGAATCCTCCCAAATCTCTTCTGGAGGCTACAGCCCTGTCGATGTCAAGGTTAATGAGTCTGTTGTGATTTGCTACTCGGCGGGAAAGGGCGTGGCATTGGCGCCAGCGTGCTGCTGACCTACATTTGTGTTCAGGCGACTATGACCCGGCGCAGCGAAAATCCTTTCGGCATAAATTCGTCGCCAGTGCCTTCACCCTCCCGGCGGGCACGCTTCGACTGGGTCAGAACTGCCTGCGAATCAGCACCCGAGAGGCCGACAGCTGAGGGAATTTTGCCCGCTGCTTCTTTTCCTTGAGCCGTTTTGGGCCCCCCCGCCGGAGGTCGGATCGCCCTACGGTCTCCTGTCAGCCCCCCGACACGCAATCAGATGGATTAGTGATAAGTACGGCCAATGTCTTGTTTATGGTGAGAGTCAGGGGCAGCCAGATGCAGCCAGACCATCGCGCTGTGCGTGTAGAGAGTTCGAGGCGAAGCTGGTGAACCTCTCGGAGGCTCTGCTTCCCAGCGAATCTCCCACGATGCTGGCCCCGGGCAGGATCGGAACCTCGAGCTTGTTTGTGGTTGTTGTTGCTGCTGCTCTTTCAGCGTTCTTTCTTTCGTTGTTATCTTGTGTCATGTGTGCATGTCTCCTCTGCGTGTTCGGGGTCGGAAAAAAAGAGCATGGAGATCAAAAGAAGATTGTCTTTTGCTAGACCCCGCAGTAATTAGAGGGGTTGAGAGACAGAAGCTGAAGGTCGAAAAACAAGTCGAGAACGAAACACGATAAACCAAGCCAGCAGTTTAAAAACAATCCGGGGGTCGAAAAGAAGGCAGCCTGATTTCGCTTGTTTCAAGTCCACGTGGTCCGTGCTCCATGGTTACATGATTTCGCAGAAGGCTATGTCTTCCATTGCCGAAGAATAACATGAAGGAATTTCATACTTTTGCAATAGCCATGTCGACATCGATAACTTCATCTAACCCACCCTAGCTTGCACAAAAGTTGACTGACTGCAGCGGGGTGGACCTAGATGTGATGTTGGTGCCGGCGTGAGCAGCGCAACGACGCGAACAGTTTGAGATGCTGTTAGCAATGATTTATAATCGCTAGATATCTACATTGCAACTCCACATAGTTATTTTACGTAATTATGCAACAGGTACCTTCCAACCTGGAGAGCATTGCAGGAAGCCGAAAGTTGCGAAAACAACTTGGAAGTAAGGTTCGGTTCTTGGCAGATTTCAGCAGCCTCAGCTCGAAAGCTGTAGGTAATGTTGGCAACACTATGCATTCACGCCGGAAATAAGCCAGATGTTTTGTGAATTTCATCACGGAAGCCTCTAAAGCTTCAAAGATGAAATGCAAGACCAGGGCAGTGAAACGATGGCTCTGTCTTGTGAATTGCGGAAAACTGTTTTGTATATGCAACTTGAGCTAGGATAGGGGATTTGCGGGCAGCAGCGGCGAGGAAGTGGTGGCTTGGGGGTGCCGGAAAGCAGCTTGTGCAGCGGTGCTGCGGGTATTCGCTGGGAATGGTGTAAAAAATGCTTACGTGCACAAATTTATGCATATATGCATATATACATGCATGCATACACCGGGAACCATGTCGTCGAGGCAAATGCAGCACACGTCGGGGGTGCACGGGGCATGACGGCTGTCCACCAACACTGGTTATGCAAGTCGTCTCCGCGGCTCACGAAGGTGTCGCGAAAATTCCGTGATGGGAGGCACCATGATGCATCAGTACCAAGATGCCGTCGGAGGCGTCCGCAGGAAGGCGCATGTGACTCGCGAGAAGCAGCTCGGCGTATCGTGTGGGAAAGCGCGATCATGCGCACCGGTTGCCACAGGCGGAACGCTAGAGCGAGCCAGGCGACCTGGGTGCATGTTCAGCTGGAGTGCCATAGGAGCGCGCGATCGTTTGCGCATGTCAGATCTGCGCATGCTAGAGCTGCCTCGCAGCAGGCAACCTGGCACGAACCGTATATAAATCACGTCAGTACACAGACCGGGAGGATCCCTGAGGCGCAAAAAAGTTTCGCACGCTCGGCCGCGACCGAGCCAAACTTGTGCCCAAATGAATACGCGAAGCCAACAGCGGTCAGAGCGTAACGGTTTTTTGCCTACGGCATGTGAGACGAATGACTTTCTCAACGCAGATATCACGCCAACACAATGAAATTGGACCAGCTTCTGCGGCCTTTCATTTGAGCGTTGTATCGTTACGAAGTATTTTCTGGCCCTGAAATGTAAGATGCAATTTGCACACAGCTCGTGCGCTGTTCGTCGATCGGCAGAGTGTTTTTCTTGGCATGTTTGGCATGCACGGCATGCGCGTGCCTGCGACTCTCGATGGTTTGGCGTGCAGCACATAAAGCAATGTGAGTAATGAGTAATTATGTTTTCGCGATGTCTGGGGTCACGGAGTGTGAAACATGATGAAACATGCCTCTTGGCCTCGAGATTCGGTTCTTCCTGCAACTCGGATGTGGTGCCTGGAATTTCGATGCCACCGTACCTCATGTCGAGGTACTTGCCTAGCCCATGGGTTCGTGCGGATTTTATCGCGACTTATGGGACTATGGACTATGGCAGAAGTTTGGAACCCTCAAAAAACTACACTGGGCTCTCTCTCTTTTAAAGGTCGAGAGGCTTCCAGCGCTTCACCCACTATTCTATCTTTACGTAGAAATACGTCAGAGGAGAACGCAGATTGATTCTGGACAGGCACCCCTTATGTTAGGGGCAACGGAATGCAAAGCTTGTAGCCTTATCATCGGCTACAACACGGGAACAGGCTGCTTCTGTTTGCAGACAGCAACAAGAGCTACGACGGTTGCTGCTGCGCCGTTTCCAGGAGCGCAAAGGCTTCCAAATGGACCCCGCGATGGGGCTACCTCCACAGAGGCCAGCGAGCCATCAGGAGTTTGGAAGTGTCGAGAGCTTTTTAAGCTATAGCTTTGACTCTGGAGAGTATCCGACTATCCTGCTTTGCACGTCTTGACAGATGGCTCCGGGCGGGCTTCGACAGAGGACCCGACTGGCTATGCTCCTTGCGGCAGCCCCTCTGTGCGGCACTGCAGGATGACGACTTGGTCTTCCTCAACATCTACAACTTGGGCAAGAGTAATGCCGCGCCTTGTCTGAGAGAGACCTAGAAGAACAGGGAGACTCAAAGAGCTGGAGAGCCTGAGGTGCAAAGCCTAAACGGCATCTTCAAGAATGTGGGTCTCGGTGCGTTCCACTGCGCTGTGCAGGCAAGAGCTCGTTCGAACAAGGATCCGGAAATCGGCTTTTGTTGCTTTGCAGGTTTTCGGCACAGAGTGGAGCTACGGCGGCTGGCCAGAGGCAGGCTGCTACTTATTGTCAGAGGCAGCAGAGTACGGGTGGTCTCGTGTGCCCCAAGGGCAGCCCGTGTGACCGACATGACACCGGAGCTCTTCGGCCAATGCAAGAAGCACGATCCGGTTCTGTTTTGCGGTCAAGAGCATTCGGAGCTGTTAGTGTGCTCGCGAAGGTTTGGAGCTGTTTGCCCCGAATGTCCGTCTCGCACACCTTTCACGAGGCCCCTGTTCAGGTGAACCCCTAAGTCGTGACACTGCTGCATCCTTGTGAGGCCGTGGTCATGGGAAGTGTGACCATTTCAGAGGAAGAACTCGTGGAGTTGATCTGCAGCTTGATGCAGGCATCCCTGCGCTTCGTCCGCTCACAAGGATAGCAAGGGACCTCTTGCCCAGGAGTGGCCCATGTCTGAGTACGACCTTCTCAACAAGAACTGCTGCCATTTTTGCGAGGCGCGAACCCCTGGAAATTGCTCAGCTTCCTCGGTGCTTTCGAGAAGTGGTTGTGTGGTTGTCCAGGAACTTTGCGAGCTGCTCGGGGTCGGGCCTCTGCCAAGCAGAGCGCAGGGCTCGGGAAGTGTTTTGGCTCGAGGAGCACCAGGCCGTCGTCTGCAAAGGTGCAGGTAAGTGAACTTGATCATTGCAAGCACCAGCGCTGGCAAAGCTATCTTTGTTGAATCGTTGTCTCTGAGGTGAAGAAGCTGGCTGGACTCGGGTCCACACTGAACGAGAGTGCTGCCATGATGGCCGAGGCCCGCATCAGAGAGAGAGAGAGAGAGAGAGAGAGCTGATGTTGAGAAGCTGGAGACTGTTTCGTGATGCAAGTCAGGCTGCTTCCAAAGTTAGAGCCGACATCGTAGGCGGGGAAGCATACACGAGAGCGGGAGGGGACCTCTTCTGTTGCGCTTCTCAGGTGTCGGCGTCGTAGCATCAAGCCTTCTTGTGCCCTGGTGTTTAGATGCCTGTATGTGCAGGCAAAAGTTGGGCTTCCCTTCCCGCCTTTCCGTGCCGTAGGTACAGGCCGCCGTTGGCACGGTTTCAGCGCTGGGCACCGCCGATGTCGCTACAAGCGGTGATAGCCATCGCCCGTCTGCAGAGCAAAACAAATTGCATTTGTGGGTGGGTGCAGGTGAATGGCGACACCATGCGACACCACCTCCTAACTGTGCTCGTCCGCTGGGACTACCGAGGACTACCTCCACCGAGCTGGTCGTACGGCCCGATTCGGCGAGCCGGGCAAGGTGCCCTCTCAGTTCTCGGCTGCGTTCTACTGAAGTCTATTGATTTGCAGTCGTGCGCAGGTGACCTCCTTGGTGAAGAAGGGTGATAAGTATCTTGCCAAGGTGCGAGGGACATCGAGGGGTTATCCATCATGTCCCTGTGCTTGGCAAGGCCATCGAGCGGTGTGTCCAGCTCGGCAAGCCCATCAACGAGTTGCAGAAGCCTCAGTCTCCCGGCAAAGCCGTCAGAACATTAAGAAAGTGGAGTCGTAGGATCCAGCTACTGCGCCTGCTTGCTGTGTCGAGTTCGGCCCAAGTCTGCCTTTAGACACGCCCACCGGCGCACCAATCTCACAACTCGCAAGTGCGGCTTGCCATGTCCAGTCGGCATGGCCGTGCTTGCCCCTGGCAACATGTCGGCGGTCTTCAAAGACGTCGAAGCGCAGCCTGTCTGCCTTTGGTGCTCCATGTGCGGCCTGCTTTGGAAGATGGCTGGACCAGGTACAACACAGCAATCGGTGCATACGGCCGACAGTCGAGACGCCTTCCCAGCTTTATGCCATCTGTCTGACTTGCTCGCATGTTTTGCCACTTTGTCGGTGTCCGAGGATGGCTCCAGTCTCTTTGTCTGCTCGCTGCACTTCTTCGACAAGGCAGGGAGGAGCGAGAGGAGTGAGATGTGCTGTCTTGAGGCTTTAAACCTTTGCCTGCGCAGGCTTGCGGGCCACGATGGTCTCAAGGACCGCATTCTTGGCCTGTGCCGTGTCGTGCCGTAGCTTCGGGTCTGAGCTGTTCCGTCCGAGGAGCGCCGCACTCGGCGCCTGCTCCAAAGCATCCAGGCTGCTCCCAAGCGTTCATGGGAAGGTATGTTCTGATGCACAGCATGCGCTGCCGCCGCAGGTGGCAGGCGGGCCTCAGCCTTCTACGAAGCATCGTGGCTTCTGGCCAGCAAGCCAACGCCGCTTGGCAGGGCGAAGTCCAGGGTCAGGTTCTTCATGGTTCTTCCGTTCGGATTTTGGGCTTGCCCAAGAAACCCGCTCCTTCATGTAGCGACGGCGGCGTGAGAGAGCCTTTCAGGCGGTGCCCTGCAACGCTGCGCCTGGGCAGAATGTTCGCGCCTGAGACCGAAGCCTCCCAAACATCGCGTTATGAAGAGGCCACCAGCGGCGTGGGCAGCGTCCTGGGTGCTTGGTTCCGTAGTCGCCATCTCCTCGAGCCATGGCAGAGAGTGCTATGCCCAAGGTGTCTGGAGGGTCCGGAGGTGGCGTATATTGCACCAGGCCGTGCTATCATGTACACAAGCATATTGACGTACGAAACTGTGCTCAAGACTACCCACTGCAGCCTATACAGCAAATACACGTACGAATAGGCATACATACCAAGACTACAAACGAATGCCTGCGCAAATTGTGAATGACAGATGCATTGTGTACATGTCTAAATGCATGTGCATGGATGTATGCCTACGAAGTCTGCCTGAGGATGACATGCGCTGGCACACCGTCGTTCCCACTGTCGTCACCCTTGGTGCTCTGCAGCTGGGATTCGATGGCACACAGCTGTGAACTACCGCAGATCCCAGAAGAGCGAAGGGGTGTTGGTAGTGAGCCGGGTCTGTAGGGAGCCTAAGTCTAAGGAGTCTAAGGATTGCCAGCTGCAGCTTGCATGCCTTGTGGTCAGCAGCTCTTCGCTCCGTCGCAATGATGCAGGAGCTGAGCCTCGGTGAAGCATTGGCCAAGCAATTGCGGCTGTGGGCGCTGCTTCGCATCGATGTGAGCGGAAGGCACGTGCAGCCGGACCTCGTGGCCCACAACTCCCTGAGCGATGCAGCCGCAGCTGCTGCTAACTGGCCTTTGGCATCGAAGCTCATGGAGGAGACGCGAGAGGCCCGTGGGGGGCGCTTGATCTCTCACTCGTTCTTTGGTGGATTATCGCCCCTGGTCTTCGGAGGCTCGACTCCGACGAGATGCGGTGGGCATGACGACTCTGTTGCAGGCCATGCTGATCCAAGCTGCTCTGCTCGTCTCGTCTGTCCACGGTTCTCGCCCCTAGGCCTTCGCCCAGGGAGCTCGCTGGCACCGGGCAGTCGATGCATGGGCCGGATTTGCCCAGGTGCGTCCGGTGCGACCTTGTAAGAATCCTGACCATGACGCGCCAAATCTGGGTAGTGCCTGCTAGCCGCTAGCCACAGGATGGTATGTCTCGGAATGTCATTCAGCTGAATTCCGTGACGAACAGCTTGGGCCGAGGCCGGCAAATGCTGTCGGATCAGTGGGGTGCGAGTCTAAGGGCAGCCACTCCAGGCCAGAATTGGGAGCAGGCCACGCAGATAATTCGCAGCATCCCGGAAGCTCTTCGCCCTGATGCCATTACGCTGGCCGCGAGTTTAGCCGCCTGCGGTCACTGGGCTGAGATGGGCAGAGGCAGAGGCGCCGAGGAAGAAGTTGAAAGCGGCCAAGCCGAGTTCCAAGGCGAAGCTGTGCAGTGGGAAGCCGCAATTCAGCTCTTCGTCTTGGACTTCTGCTCAGGACTGGCTCGGGACCTGGGAAGGGAAGACGAGTGCGACTGCTGCTGTCTGATCTCTGAAAGGAGCACCAGCTCTCACAGCTTCCTCTGCCACCACTGCCATGGCGGCCGCCAGACGCGCCGGGCACTGGCGCCGGGTCTTGGGCATTTCTGCGGTGCTGGGGCGCTGGCAGGCCGGGAAGGGAAGACTCAAAATAGGGGATGGCCCCCGCGGCTTGAGAGCGGAATCGGATCGCTTTTGATTTTTTGAGGTGACCGAAGATCTCGTCTGCTTCAACGAGCGCCTCGCGGCCTTCGCCGACTCCCGCAGGCCCGAGCTCAGAGCAGCGAGGAACGGGAGAGTGCCGCTCGCCGCTCGCCGAGCAGGTGGCGCAGCGCCGTGGCGGCGCTGAAGGCGCAGGCTCCCTGTGGGATTCGCGTTTCGGCAGAGTCTCAGAGTGGGGGCGCCCGGAGTCCGGAGGCTTCCCGCAGCCTCCGACCTGACACCACAGCGTCTCGGCAAGAACACGCCTCCTCGTATTGCCTATGCCGACCCAGTCCGAAAGTGCCCTACAAGACACGAGGCCGTCAACACGTGCCTGGCAGCCTTCGGATCCACTTGGCGCAAGCTTTTGCTGCACCTTCATGAAGCTAGTTTGGCCCCGAGCTGTGATGTTTTCGAGAGGATCCCATGTCTTTGGTCCCCTGGTGCTGCAGGCGCACAGGGCTCTGCGGATGCCGTGAGCTTCCACTGCGCGGCCAGCTCTTGTGCTGCCGCTGGCGAAGTGGGCACTGCACTACGCTTGGTTGAGTGGCCTGGCAGCAGCAAGGTGCAGCAAGGTGCTCCGGTGCTCCGTTGCTCATGTTTTGTGGGCGCTCTGATCTGTTTCTGTGCACAGTGCTCAGGCAGGGACGGCTCAGGCAGGGGCGCCACAGCCGCATTCAGCTGGTCGCATCCATTGGTCTGCTGTCTGCAGCTGGTGTTGTCCCGGTGCACAAGCTTCGCAGTCTGGACGCCGATCTCGTGGTGCTGGCGGCTGCGGCTCTTGCTTCAGCACCGCCACAGCTTCTTGCTGCGCTGCGTGCTCCATGTCTCGATCGTTTGCGGAGAACGGACGCAAAAGAGTCCAGTGGCTGCCCGTCGACAAGACCTCTGCCTGAGTGCTTGATGTGCTTGTGCGCTGCAGGTCTTCAGACAAGCGAGACTACCTGCGAGGAGGACAATCTGCCGTTTGCATGAGACATGGCAACCTGCTTGCCCCGATTCTTGACCTAGGTTCTCCCTGCTTCTGTCCTCTGCTGCACTCGTTCTGAAGTCGAGCGCTGCGACTTGGAAGGAGCTCTGGGTGAGCTGATGGAGCGCCACCCTCGGGCGGCCAAGTACTTGAGTCGCGAAGAGTCCGGAGCCCAGAGCTGCAGAACACTGCGAAGACGAAGCAATCAAACAAAGAGACGAAGGTTTGTCTGTGGAGCAGCGGCAGTAGCGGTAGCAGGCAGCCCCATGAAGCCGGAAGACCACAGCAATCCACAGATTCGCGATGGTGACCATGCCAAGACTAGCCCAGAGGCCAGAGGAACAAACATGCAGGCAGTGACATCCGAAGCTCTAAACCCTTCACCCTGAGCCCTAAACTCTGAAACCCCTCATGCCAACATCTCAACAAACCTAGAGTAAAGGAATGCCTTGTAGCATCCTAATGACCTAAACCCTGTTCCGAAGAGCTGGCATTGGATTGAAATGCTTTCTTGAAGTCAGGCGCGGGCTCCCTGCGCGGAAGCCCTACTCTGGTGGTCTGAGGTAGTTCGCCGGTCATCCAAAGTCTGATGTTGTATCTTGTAAGAGTGGTTACAGTAAGACAAGGGCAAGAAAGTATCACCAGCGACAACAATGCTGAATAAGGTGCAATAAGCGTTCTCTTACAGACGTACTTAACACCAGTCATCGTAGCAGTGATCGGAGAGTGTCGGTCGTTGCACCCCTGCTCGTGGAGAAACTTCCACACATTCTCACGAGACTGCTCGTGCTTTAGCCCTGCGGAGAAACAAGAGGCATGTCATTGTCACGGTGAAGTGACGAGGGTGCGATTCCATGCTCATTTCTTGAGCGCATGGGACGGATGTGTAGAACGAAGCGAGGGACAGCCTCGCTGGCCTTGAAAAAGGTCCTAGGCAGGTTCTTCCTGTGTTTGCGAACGGCTGTGGGCGCGGATAAGTGGAGAATGCAAAAAAATGCGAAAGGCCGAAAAGCGAAAAGTTATAATTTTACGTGAAAACCGCGAAAGTTGAAAAGTCGAAAAAGCCGCGAAAAGTCGAAAAGTACAGCAAAACGCGAGAAGTCGAAAAGCAGCGAAAAGTCGAAAAGTACAGCAAAACGCGAAAAGTCGAACAGCCGAAAAGCAGCGAAAAATCGAAAAGTACAGCAAAACGCGAAAAGTCGAAAAGTCGAAAAGCCGCGAAAAGTCGAAAAGTACAGCAAAAGTCGAAAAGTCACCACAGGAGAATTCGCAAAAACAACAACTGGCAAACATCTGAAGCATCTTGGCACAGCTTTGGTCTGCAAAGAGCATAGGTAGATCCAGGATAATGTCAAGGATTTTGGGTGCTGGGGGAAGTGTTCTGGCCTTTTTGCCTATTGTGATCGCAACCTTGTCAAATCAAAGCACCGGAAAGGATGTTCGTCTTCACTACGTGTGCGAGGTGTCCATGGCACGGGGAAGTCGATGTGGAAGGTTACACAAGAACACATAAACATTTGCATTTGCTATGTGTGAGTAGACAAAACCAAAAATATTGTTATACGTACATGCATATGTATATACATGTACCTGAAAAACAAATACATATATAAGAACTTCGTAGACATATATATATATGCAAAGGTATGTATGTGTATATATATATATACACATAAGAACACATATGTTCTCGCACATGTACACCAACATCAGGCCCAGAGAACATACTCATTGACCCGATTTTAACAAACCCCACAAGCTCCTTTCAAAACCCAAGCTCTTCAACAATCTAGCCCAAGCCTATAACGCCCTGTCAATCGCCAACCGCTGAAGCGGCTGCTTTGCTTAGTGGTGCGCCCAGTTTAACGACTTCGTAGATGGTTGGTAAAACAAGTGAATGCTAAGTGTAGGCATGATTGATCTAAGCGCTACAATGACACTGTGACTGCCACACAGCAAGCCTGACTCCATTGACAGTCAATGCCCCAACGGCAGGGAGCGGCTGTTTTGCTTAGTGGTGCGTCTGGCTTAGGGCGGCAGGAAAACCCACCGCCGGCCAGAGCAAGAAGGCCCGAACGAGCTACAACCACAACTATGACTGATTTTAACAATGATCGTGTGACTATCGAGTCAGCTGGTGCCCGATCAAAAACTTGTAGTACAAACGAAAATGAGAAGGCAAAAAATTATACGGACATGCATATGTATGTACATGTATTTGAATAAACAAATACATAAGGAGTTTATACACATACATATGAGAAGGTATGTATGTATGTATGTATGTATGTATGTATATACACATAAAGGCTCACAGCGATACACACTGTAGTGTGTCTGCGGGACCCCGTAGGGGCTTTGTCGGTGTTTGGTTGTGGCTTCCGGGGCTGCTGGGCCGAGGGTCTGCACTGTGGCATGAGCGACCCTAAAGCCATGGACTGCTCTCGGGCCAAAGTCATGGTCACACGCGCTGGCTGCAACACGTGCCTGAAGAACAAGATGCACGCAGGCTGGTTGTGCTTTGCTGGATTTCTGATTTGGATTGTGGCTTTGAACGGGGCTATACATGCTGCCCTAGCGCCAATCAGCAGTCTGCACAGGCTCAGGAGCACAGATGCCTACCCGTATGCAGGGCAGGTTGGATCTTCTGACGTCGCCACTACTCCACGCGCTGATCCCATCAGATGTGCACCCCATCTTGCAGGTCCTCCAAACAGGGACATGGAACAGAGACGGGTCTCAGGCGCGTGTCTCGGCAAGGGCATCATTGCTCTGCCTCCTGCTTCGTCGCCTCTGCTCAGGCTAAAGCTTCAGCCACTGGCAACATACATGTTTGCTCTGGAGCGCATGAACAACACCTTTCTGCCGCCGCTGCCGATGATACCCAGCAATCCGTATGACTATCCTCGCAAGCCATGTTCTCAGATGCACCCTACAAGCCTCCGGCTTCTCCAGCCCTCTGATTGTTCAGGACGATTGCGCGACATATTGACCTGGAGACCATGGATTGATATTATGGCCTGGACCCTCGCCACAGGTAGAGATGACAAGCCTCACCTTTGTCAGGACAAACAAGTGACTGCACCGCTGTTTGTGTCGGCCTTCAGGGATGCACCTGCCACCGCCGGCACCTTTCAGGTTTATATACTCTCAAGGATGCCAGATAGATCCGGGAGAGTCACTCCGACTCCCCGTCTGTACGGTCCGACACCCATGCCGATCCCACAGCCTACCTTTCTCTCAACTCCGAGCTGCTGGCCCAGGCTAGAGGAGTCCTCGCCTGCTGCGCGGCCCTCAATTGCCTTCGGCTGGTCTACGGACTTCCTCCTGCCCTGTGACAGGCTCGAGGTGTCCTCGCCTGCAGCCCGGACTCCAGAGCAGCAGCTCAATTATGCCACCGCCTCAAATTGGTACATCTGTCAGGCCTCATTCCTTTGGTGCCCGACAATATTGCCAAGGCCTCAGTGCAATCAGCATCCACCTTCTGCCACCCGCCAAGGAACAGTTGGTTGCAGTCAGGCACCATACCAATCCACATGGCAGCACTTGGCTCAATCCAGTTGTCTTGCGTTCCCCCCTCGCTTAGGGAACAGCCTTGCCGCCCTCCCCTTGTCCCTATTCCTGCCTCGACCTCGTGCAGCATGCCGAAGCGCAAGACCAAGGACACTACCAACACCGGGACCAAGGCCAAAGGACGCAGACACCATAGTCCACCATGCTCATCCAGCGAGACCTCCGAGGCAGTGGATTCAGCAACGGCAACGGCCTCTACAGCGCCTCGCCCGCGACCGCCATCCTTGGCCCGCTCGCCCGGCTCCAGCATGCCAGCAGGCCCTCCTCCTCCCAGGCCAGTCAATCTGCCTCCTTCAGGACCTCCACCGCCAACACCAGCGAAGGCGAGTACCACGGCAATCGGGTCCAATACAGGCACGACAGCAACTGGCTTACTTTCGAGCACTGCAACAACATGCACCATACCCCACACGACTGCTGCAGCGATGTTCCTGCCGCCACCAGTGCCTACGTCAAGTCCAACAGGCCTCAGCCATCAAGCCAAAGCTCGCCCACCCGCACAGCAGAGTGTCACAATTCCTGTCCCTCCCATCGACATCCAGTACTCGGTCACTATCACAGCGCGGGCAGTCAAGCCGACTACTGAGTCCACCGCGGCTCACACCGGCACAGGCACCAGCTAAGTCTGTGTGCCAGCCCACTGCCTATGCTGAAGCCCATAGGAACAGACCTGCTGACATGCACCCACCTTGCCGATACAGCAGACTGAAAACTACGAGATGCACCACCCTGCATGCGCTCAACAGCTCTTTGCAGTCCTATTTGCTGCCCCCTCTACTGTCACACCCAACTCAGGTCCACTGGCAGCGACGTCTTCTACACTCGCCTGAAGCCCGGCTCCTGAGTATACGCCTGACTCTTATCCGCCACCGCTGCATACAGCTGAGTCTACTCAAGCCAAATTTCATCAGCCTGCATCGTGTGCTCTTGCTCTCATGGCGCGGGCTGCAATCACCCAGGCAGAGCAGACACAGCTCCTCAGTCAGGGAGCCATGGCATCGACCGATGACTCTTGCCAAGCTGCACCGACCACACCGGCTGCCACGATTGCTACAAGTCCTCCACCTCTTCGACGCCGTAGCAGAAGCCCACGTCCCACGATCACCAAGGCACCGGAAGCACTATGTGTACATCAGACGGTGGACCCGGGAAGCCAATGTGAGCATTCGTCATCAGCATTCCACATTGATGTTCCCACCACTCCCCACTCCAGCGTATGCATCAACATTCGCATTCAGCTGGTGCAGGGACGTTTTACATCAATTCAGGCCTTCACCACAGACGGCCCAGTGGATGTCTCTCCTTAGCCTTACATTTGCCAACCATTTCAGGCGACACTGCTCAGGCAAAAATCTTCGATCAGTCTGCACCTTCCTTAACATGCGATTGCCAGCCCATCTGACCCCACTGCTCTGCACCTCCCCTTCCCACTCGATCAGGTCAACAGTGCCTCGAACAAGCAACCGCTACGACACAGGCCCGGTGTCACATTTGGCATGTGCTTCTGTCAGCTGTTGTGTCATCTGCCTCGAGCCTGACCTTCTATGCCGATTCGCTGTGATCAGGCTCCCGCCCGCCACAGGTAGATATCTGCTCTCAGTTTGGATATACACTCATTTGAGGGTTCAGTTCGCCCAAGCGAACCCATGGCAAACCCATCGGACAGGCCAGACTCAAGTTCCGAATCGGAAGGAACTCTGGTCTACGCTGCTGAGGTTGCGGAGCGTGCATTCCGAGCATGGAAATCAGAGGCTCTCGGCATCCAGAATGCCTCCAGTGCATCGACCTCTGAATGTCACACACAGCGTCCTTCTCGCAGCCGCAGCCCACACCGATCTTCGTCTCTGCCAGTGCGACAGGACTCTCACAGCTCTCAGCAACCACCTCAGGACCGACCTGACTCTGGAGGAGGCCCAACCCCAAAGGCGACAATGCCCAGCATTCGTATACTCCTGGTCATCAAGGATGCCGAGACCTGACTCCGACTCAGATCAGTCTCCCCACAGTTTGCCAGACATCTCTCACTGTGCGCGACAAAGCTACTGTGCTTGTGCCGGTACCAACTACAGCCATTCCACCGCACATGAGTTTGCATCATTGCATCATGCCACTAGCAACCGCTTTCACTACATTTTCCTCGGCAATGCTGTCTGCAGGCTCTGGAACGCCCTGCTCTTCTACGACCTCCCCGCATCTCTGTCGGCGATGTGCTCAGTGCACACCGACTCTTCCTCGTATGCCCTGCACACATTTGCATTGCATCAGTGTCATGCCTGCCACCACATCCTGTCCTTGTCGGCATGCTTTGGCTTACAGAAGCACAGCTCTGCCCTGTCTGGGCTCTACCCAATGGGGAAGGAGCAACGGATTCGACGCCAATCCCAAAGACCGGGACAGACCAATCGCGCCGAGACCATCAGCGAGCCTATAGATGCAGATGGGACGGAGCCTGCCCGGGACTCAGGCACACACCAGTGTCTAGACTCCGATGAGGAGGCGGCCTCTCACTCCGCTCATGCCTCCGACTCTGCAGCTCCCTCTTCAACCTCGCCCAGTGCCACGCGCCTTACGGATGAAGAAGTTCGCCTCTTACGGTTCGTCCAATGGAACACGTCCAAGCCTCCTCCTGTCACGATATTCCTTCGACCATACCTTCGAGAGCTACGACAAGGACCCAAGGAGGATCCCCTGGGCCGTGAACCTCTTCCAAGGCGTCGGCCGATAGCCCTGGATGCAACAAACGAGGAGATCTTCTCCAATTGCCCGGGAGCGCATGGTCTTCACTACTTCCTGACCCCGGAAGATGGCTGGTGGTGCAGCATATGCGCCACTGAGCATCCCAAAGGCACGGGCTTCTATGGCTGCCGCAAATGCGACTACGACACCTGCCGCACCTGTGCCACTGCTCCTGCCTCCGATCAGAAGCCATCCGCAACCACAGCACCTTCCGAGGACAATACAGGAGGCGGGGCCTTAGACCAGACACCTCTGCAGGCCAGGATCACACTCCCGCCCAAGGCCAAGAAGCGACCGGCGCCAATTTCTGATTTGGACACAGCCGAGGCGGCCAAGACTGCTACTAGGAAACCATCAAGGCCTGCATCCTCTTCGGCTCCCTCTCCAGCCCCCACACCGGCGGTTGAGTTCATGCACGAGGTCATCACGGTGGACGACCCGACCCACACCGGACCACCACAGGTCCCAGCTAAGGACAGCAAGCCCGAACCAAGCAACCAGACCTCGCTTGCCCCTGGCGACCTCATTGCATCGCTCCTTACTCAGGATCAACCTGACGGACCAGACTCAACAGCTGCACTGGGGCAGACTTGCAGCAATACGGCGGCTGACACTTCCTTGAGCCAGTCCTCTACAGCGAGTCCCAAGCCGATGCTGACCGACCCGGGACAAGACCCACCGCTTCTCTCTGGACCAGATGAGCCGAGCAAATCCAGACCGCGTCCGAAAACAAGCACGACGCAGAAGAAACAGAAGAGAAGCATGCTCAAGACCAAGACCAAGGTCGCCGGAGCCAAATCCAAGAGCACTTCCAAGCTCAGGAAATCCACTGAGACCACGGATGCTACAGCCGTTGAGTACGCCAATTATAACTTGGAACCACACGAGCTCGACCACTCTCGCCGTCCCAGGCGAGTGGGATTCTGGCTTACAGCAGGCCAGAATGCCATTGACTCCTCGCCCGCAAGCAAAGCTGCGGGAAGCACCGACCGGGCATCAACGAAGGGCGCATATACAGGGGCTTGCTCAGCATGCTCTGCACTCCCATTTGCTCAGCTTCCAATATGCTACTCGCTTCCCCTGCTCAGGCTCGTCAACTTCGTGGACACTCATTCAGGCAGCGGACACGGCCCCAGTCTTCCGTCACAGCAAGCAGCCATCGCCACAGACACCACCTTACGGGCCTTTGTCTCTCTGTCTCCCTGGCAGGTCTTTGGCCACTTCCCATCATCTCTGTGCAATCGGACGTGCTCTCAGGCGCCGCTTCTGCCAGTGATTGTTCCTGTCTGCCATACATCTCGACAGTGTCGATTATCCTGCTCCGACCCACCCCCTGTGGCACAAGCTCGGACACACAGCATACTAGTCCCTGCCCTTCCGCAGCTCCCTTGTTCACAATGGCACCAGCAAAGCGGCCGGCCAGCAATGCTCCTAGCAAGGCACCACCTCGCAAGAAACCTGCAAGCAAGCAGTCAACCTCTGACCACCACGGACTACGAGGCAACTCAGACAATCCTGAGGCTCAGCATGACCTACGCACTCCTCGGGACTCTGATTCAGATGTTATCGATGCCAGAACAGGAGCTGATCAAGAGGATTCCTCCACTGATCAAGATGGCCCGCGCGGACCGCCACCTCCTAGCCCAGTCAACATGCCTGGACGCGGAAGCACTGATGCAGCCGACGGCTTCGAGATCCCCACTCCGATCTCTTATCGTGATCTGGGTCGGGAGAATTTTCGTATCATTTCGCAGATGCCTCTGGCCACTGTGCTTCGGCATGCTGCATCGCACATATTTGGGGCATCATCAAGCCGCCCGGAGTCACCCCCCCGGGGATGAGACTGGCTCTATCGCGTTCTTCCGTGCATTGTCTAGCATTCCAGAGACGCGCTATCAAAAGATGAGTTCCACAGCGCACCTATGTGCACTTCCCCTCATGCCTTCCGATTTCGAACCTCGGCTCCGATGGCACATTTGCCCAGGAAAATTCTTCTACAAGCACCTGTTTCGTAAACGCCCCCCCCCCAGAGTCAGAATACGGCTTCTAACTCGGCGCCGATCGCCACCAAGGCGACGTCCGGTGCCCTTCCTGCACCGACTTTACCGTCCGGCACCCAGCATCTATCACAGTTTCATTGTTCATGTCATGCAGTGGCATTCACGGATCAGCAGTATAGCTGAACATCTCTGCGGCATCTCTGTCAATTTCCTCAGAGACGGATGCAGACCGCACCGACAGCACGTCCGCCCGACCTCCCATATCCGTTCAAACACAAAGAGATCGGCTTCGCCACTCACCCCGCAGACACACAATTCACATCGAGCTTTCGCTGTTCCCGGTCCCAAACCCGGGAGAGATGGGCCCTCAACATCCCATCCCAGATTGCCGAGCCCACGCCTCCTTGTCTTCACGATTATTGGCTTGGTACAATCAGCACCCATCTCTGAGCCGAGGGTTGACGCCTCTGCAGCCCAGCAAGCGTCTGGAATCCTCTCTACACATACAGCACATGGCTCTAGGATGAACCAGATTGGGCAGTTTACGCTCCCTCCGGTCTACACTGACATCCGCAAACGAGCATACAAGCGAGCATTGCGACGTATCTCGAAAACTGGACAAACCCAGTACCGAGGTAGAACGGTTACATCACACCAACTTGGTCTCACTGCTATCACTCGGAAACCTGCACCTGCTTCGAGCGTGCTTCGCTCGCAGGATCGCATTCGCTATCAATTCTGGAATTGCGGGGGCCTCACTGCGAGTCGCTTCCAAGAAATACGGAGATGGATCGCTACCCATCCACCGACCATCCTTGTGCTCACTGAGACCTTCTGGAAAGACCACTCCGAGTGGTCTGAGCCTGGCAAAGGAGGAGGACTCTCTTTTATCCACACCGGATCAGGCAAGGCGCGATCCGCTGGCATTTTAGTCATCATACCTCACACCATTGCCTCTCCACAAAACATAAGACACGAAACCATTGTGGCTGGCAGACTCCTTCGTGTCCGGCTGGAGGCTGAACCGTCGCTTGACATTTTGTGTGTCTACCAGCATACGTGGGCACTTCTCAAATGCGATCGAGAGGCTGCTGACTCTCTCGCATCTCTAATGCTAAGGAGGGAGAAATTTCTGGATCAGATGAGGCGCGCTCTACGGCAGACCCCACTGCGGAATGGACTTCTCATGGTAGGCGACTGGAACACATCCATAAAACCTACCCCAGGACGCATTGGTGGCGGAGTACCTGCCAGCTCGCACCAACCCTCCCAGGAGGATTGGCGTTCCCATCTGCAACTGCTTGTAGATTTTGACCTTGTTAGCTTGAACACCTGGCGAAGGCAAGGACCAAGCAGCAGAACCTTCTTTACGTCGCCTACATCTCAGCAAGGCACACTCATCGACTATGCCTTCATGCGCACCGCCCAGGCTGATACTCTCAGCAAGCAAGCGTATCCGGACAGGTACTCTCGATTTCTCATGCCACAAGGCCTTCAACATGTCCCTATTTTGGGCAGCATTCCATGGCCTCGCACACCCTTTTCTCCAGCAAAGGCAGGCCCTAAACTTCCCACGATCCAACAGGCGCACACTGCCATTGCATCCCAGCCCGGTCTCACGCAGCTATTTCGCGACCAGGTGGCACTCGTTCTGCAAAACGACCCAGGCCCATCTCGGTTATACACCAAACTTGCCCAAGCCTGGGAAGCTGTTGCACCCAAGGCACCTCTACCTGTGGACCGTACTGACACCCAGTGGCCAGCACAGATACAGCAGCTCTGGCAGCTACGCCGCTCCCTCAGGCATCTCACTACCGGCTCTGTAACGACTGCCGTGCTATGGAAGCAATGGATTCAGGTCATCAGACTCCGGAAACTGCAAAAGCAGATCACCAAGCAGGCCAGAGAACGCAAGCGACATGCCATGCAGACCTTCTTGCAAGAAATCGATCAGCCTGGTTTTGGTTCTCTTATGTCCCGGGTCTATAAGGCTGCTAAAAGATTTGCCCCAAAAACCCGGAAGATCGCCATCCAGCTTAGAGATGAAGCTGGGTTGCTTCTCGACAAACCAGGAACTAAACTCGCTTATCAGACTTTCTTTGAGAAGCTCTACAGATCCCCCGCCAGTGCGCCTGCACCCCTATCCCTCACATGGGGCTTGCACATCACCTGGTCGGAATGGCACAATGCGCTCTCAGCAACGGCAGCCCGCAAGGCCGTCCCAGCCCACTACCCACCGGCTATTCTGTGGAAAACCACGTCGGACTTGCTTGCAGACACTCTTGAAGCTGCTGAATTATTCGGACCAGGCAGCATCCAATTTGAGCCGGAATGGACTGAGGCACACCTCGCCTTACTCCCGAAACCCAGCAAACCTCCGACCTCACCTGGTGCCCTAAGACCAATTAGTTTACTGGATCCGATCTCAAAGGCTTTGGGAGTTATCCTTGCTAGGCGTCTGCAGCCGTATACAGAAGCGTACCTCCAAACGGCACCACAATTTGCCTACTTAGCTGGCAGATCAACAGGAAGCGCCATCGGTCGTATTGCCTCACATTGTCACTGTGTACGCAACCTCCTTCAAGGACAATCCCAGACCATACATCGCCACAAAGAGGGCCACAGAGCCCTACCTCTGGCAGGCGGGCTGACCTTGAGCGTCGATCTTTCGCGTGCATTCGACACTCTGCCAGAATCCATTCTACATCAAGCTCTTGTCGCCGCTGCCGTACCGGCCGATCTCACCAACTGTATCCTGGAACTGCACAGGCAAGTCAAATTCTGCCTGCGAGACCACCAGATCTCGGTGTTGGCTGGTCGAGGAATCAGACAGGGCTGTCCCCTCGCACCTCAATTATGGACCCTGGCCTCAGGCTTCATCATCCAGCTGATACAGCAGCAAACGAGCGCCGACCTTGTCACAGATGGTTTATCCCTGTACGCAGATGATCACTTATGCAGCTGGGTTATCAAAACTGTTGCTGATTTGAGGCGCGGACTCCGTGAAGCCTCACGCATCTTAGACACGTTAAGCTCATGCGAACTGGAGGTCAGTGCGGAAAAGTCGATCTTCCTGCTCGAACTTCGAGGCCCCAAGGCACAACAGGTTATGTCTGACATCACATGCAAACTTCCGACTGGCCAGGGTGTCATTGCTGGCAGATGGAAACTTCCACTGCGAAAGTCTCATCCCTACCTTGGGATCATGCTGTCATACCGCAGGATAGAGCATGAGTCATACCAGCATCGGAAGGAGAAAGCCATCGGCACGTTTGCCAGGCTGGCCCATGTCCTCAAAGATCGCCGAGCACTCTCTGATCCAATGCGGATACGCCTTTGGCGCTCGCTTGTATGGCCAGTCCTTTCATATGGCTTGGTGTGTGCAGGTCTGACACCTGATCTCATACAAGACTGCACGAGTTTGGTAGCTAAGCAGCTTCGCACCATTACTCGCAGTCATAACTACTATACCAGGGAGACCAACGAAGAGATTTTTGTCAAGACAGGCATTCCCACGCCAGCCAAATGCTTTGCAGAAGATATCGTCAGGGAGATTTCTACAGTTGAGGCCCAAGCCTGCCTGCAGCCTGCCCGTGTACTTGAATGGCTGAAGACCACCCAATCCCACATCACATCATGCTTGCAAACCAAGACTACCCCCTCAAAAGCCAGACTCCTGTCTATCGACAATCTACAGAACAGCGGCTTCCCGTGCCCTGAATGTGGTGTCTACTACAGCGACCAGGCATCGCTCAATAAACACATTGCAAAGGCACACAAAATTAGTACACGGCCCGACTGGCAAGCTCACATTGTTGCTGATTACACATTGTTCGCCGAAGAAGGCCTACCAAAATGTGTCTTCTGCAAGCACGCCTTTTGGGGATGGCCAGAGTTCAATCTTCACGTGGCCTTTGCACAGTGTGATGGTCTTAGAGCGCACAAGGAAAGACATGGTGAACAGCATCTTCGTATTAGGCCGTCCGAGTCCCGCCAGCTGCCTCTCATCGAGGCACCAGAGATTGTACAGATCTTATTCGCAAATCCCTGGCACCGACTTATTGGCAATAAGCTCGTTCGTGAGAAACTTGAGCATCACTGCCCTCTTTGTGACAAGTATGTTGCCAACTCCTCATACATCAAATCTCATATACTTGCCAAACATGCTCAGTACAGCTCCATTTTACATGCCTGCGAAGCTAGGGTTCGCAAGTTCTCCACGCCGTCCCCCTGCGTGTGGTGTGGCAAATCCTACAAAAGGCGGGATGCCCACATGAGAAGCTGTCTTGTGCCATGTGTATGTATGCTCCTGGAGAGCATCTTGCATCCCACTCGACCGCTTGCAGGAGAACCTTCCCTCGATGACATTCGCCGAGCCTCCGTCCTTCCTCAGCCAGAGCTTCCCAGCCACGGAACCGAAGCAGATGTCTCCGGAGGACGAAATGAAGGTATATTGTGGGATTATGTCAGCTCCAGGCACAGAACAAGAACAAGAGGACAGAGCCATGGAGATCGAGCAAGAGCCAATGAGGAGTTCGCACCCCCTGGAGGAGAGACCAGCGAAGGCGCCAAGAGGAGCCAACCAGGGGAAGGCTGGACCAAATGGGAAAGGGAAGGGCGATACCAAGGGGGACCACAAGCGTCGCTCAGAGAATGGTTCGGGCTTCAATCCAAACCGGAATCAGCCTGCTCGCTCCACTCACTCCAACAACCTCCAGGCCGAGCTCCGCCGCATGCACTCCTTGCTACAGAGCGTTTGCCGTCTACTTCTCCGTCACGAAGACTCCCTGAACCTGCAGTCTCTCGACACCCGATACATCATCTTCTGCACCAATCAGCCAGACGGCATGCCCAACCGCCTCTGGAAGGTTGCCAAGGCCTGGAAGGAGCTCAGAGACAAAGGTCAGGCCACGATGGCGTTGAGACAGGCCCTTGCTCATGCACTGTTCAGCGAAGTCAAGAACCGCATCACCAAGGCGATGCAGGACGATGGACAGAGGGAGCAAGCAGCTCAGAGGGGGTGGATTACGGAGGATTGCAAGGGCTGGAACTACCTCCAGTGGGACAACAAGGAGCAGAAACACGTCATCAACCAGGAGAACGAACCCATTCTCCACGCAGAAGCCGTCCGACTTCTGGACCGACTCCTCTTTCTCTTTGCCCAACCGGGCGTCCTCCACCGATTTCACGCGAAGAGGAGCCTCTTGGAGACCGGAGATGCGCCAGTCATCGTCTTTGTAATGGATATAGGCCTGAGGATTCAGCTGGCTCACGAGACGTTCGACACTATGCATCGTCTGAGCCAATCGGCTATTACTCAGACGGTTGGCATGAACCTCCGTCAGGATCGCTTGCAGAGATCCCCTTTGGCCAACTACATCCAGAGTCAACTCGCCTCCACATCCTCCAGCTGAGGCTTCGCAACCCGTCTAATCTGTGCTACATGCATGCAGTGCTTTTGTCCTGGCTATGGAGCCTCACTTCCTGCCCTGACCATCTCACTCAGGTTCCGGATTGGCTCATGCGAGGATTCAGGTGCATCCTTGAGTGTCACCATCCACAGCTCCTTCTGTCTCAGTCTATCTGGCTTAACCTGATACAGGACTGGACAGCGCCTCACAGGCAGCATGACGCCGCAGAGTTTTTACAGTACATGCACAGCCGCTCGCTATTCCCACAACCTGATGTCTATTGGCAAACACGTGTTGAGATTGACAGGCACACGTGCGTGGAAGAAGAGGGCAACTCACCCGTGATCTGCCTTTCACTCAGTGCTGCCGCTACGCACGATACCCAATCCCTGATCAATGACTGGCATACGCAGGCTGGGACTCGAGCTCTTAATGGACGGACTGAGCTTGTTGTGATACAGTTGGCTCGCTACCGAGATGATTGCAGTAAGCGCGATGACCACGTGGCTCATCAGCCACGACTCGCTATTCCGACTTTTACAGATGACCACACGACAAGTACACATCTGCTGTATTTCAGGTTGCAAGCCATTTGTATTCACCTGGGAATGCAAGTCACCTCTGGCCATTATCAGGCAATTTTGTATGATCACTTGAGCGGCCAATCTTTTCTCACTGACGATAATGTGCCCGCATCGTTGATTGCGAATGTTTCCGAGATTGAACAGTTCTACCGTAGCAACTACCTCCTTTTCTATGTTATTGATGATCGTACTGTCGCATAGGTTCGGTTATATCCCTCGCGTGCCTTCGGGAGCTTCGGCTCGGGGCCGCTCGTTTGCGGAGAATGCCAAAGGCATGCCATCTAGAATGGCCGGATGATTAATCATCTGTCTCGGTAGCTTCGCTAAGCTTGACGACTCGAGCAGCGCACTCAAAGTCAAAAGTATATACACATATGTACACATATATGTTTAAACACATGTACACCACTGTTAAAACCCTAAACTCCAAGCCCGGAGAACATATTCACTGACACGAACAAACCCCATAAGCTGCTTTCAAAACCCAAGCTCTTTAAACATCTAGCCCAAGCCTATAACGCCCTGTCAATCGCTAAACGCTGAAGTCCTAAAACGGGAAAACCCCGTAAGGAACAGCAGACTCCCAAAAGTCGAAAAAACTCGAAAAGCAGCGAAAAGCTGCAAAGTACAGCAGAAAATGAAAAGTCGAAAAGCCGCGAACAGTCGAAAAGTACAGCACAACGCGAATAGTCGAAAAGCCGCGAAAAGTTAAAAAGTACAGCAAGGCGCGAAAAGTTGAAAAGCAACGAAAAGCCGCGAAAAGTCGAAAAGTACAGCAAGCCGCGAAAAGTCGAAAAGCCGAAAAGTCGACAAGTTATAATTTTACGCGAAAAACGCGAAAAGTCGAAAAGCCGCGAAAAGTCGAAAAGTACAGCAAAACGCCAAAAGTCGAAAAGTCGAAAAGCCGCGAAAAGTCGAAAAGTACAGCAAAACGCGAGAAGTCGAAAAGCCGCGAAGAGTCGAACAGGGCAACAGAAACGCGAAAAGCCGAAAAGTCAAACACTTTGCGACTTCTTGACTTTTTGACTCTTCGAATTTCGTTTCGATTCTCCGCTTATGGAAACCAACGCCTGCTTGCGTACTTAGTCCTTCATGTCCCACAACATCGGCCTCGTTGGACCCGGTGCAACGTTTGGAATTCTACTGTTGTCATGGCTTTGCCGGTGTTTGCAGCCTCCGCAAGTGAAACTTCGCGGTTTTTGGCCCGAGGGATTGCCATCACTGCATCTATTGTGCGGTGTCACACTTCCGTGACAGCCTCAGACGTCTGCCTGTTGCGCCGGCCGCGGCGTCACGCGCATGCTGCCGGACCCGCCCAGCCGCCGTCCGACGTCATGCAGCCCGCGGAGCTTGCTCACGCCCATCCCGCAAGCCGGGACCCAGCCCTGCTAGAGCTTGACGAGTAGTTCGGTATGCTGACGCCAGTCAGTGTTTCCCGCCTCGTTGCACAAGCAAGCGCGGCCCACGCCCGGGCTGGTGGCCGCGGCCGGCGCGGTGGACGCGGACGAGGGCGCCGGCCAGCGAATGACAACCTTCCACTCCCCCTACCCGACGCCAGCATCCCCGTCCGTCTGTGTGGCGCAATTCGCACAGCCATGCGGACGCGGCTCGAGCTAATCTCGGAGCGAACGTCGCCGCAGCAGGAGCTCACTATAGCTCACTATTCCTCCTTGTCCCCGGTATGCCGCCCCACCGCACCGCAGGCGAGGCGCGCATCCCCCCCGCTGAACTATGCTGACCTGACGAATCGAAGCGCTGCGAGGCTTCTGCGCGTGGGGAACGGTTACCCCTCCGTGCCGCTCCGCGAGAGCTCGCCCGCCGTCCGCTGACGACGTCAAGGCCAGAGCCAGTCGCGCTGCAGCCTTAGTGCACCTCGGCGCCGTGCCTTGACCGCCGAGCATCCCCCATCCTTGGCTTCTGGCAGAATGGGTGCACGTACGTATACTGAAACGCTTTTATTCTGCAATAAACCGTGGTTGGGGCAGATGGGGTCTTGAGGCTTGAAATATTGCCGAATGATACCTTCCACGCAGGATTCTGCAATAAACATGTTTTGTGACGGAAGTGCTTGTCAGTACCGGCGGATATTCGTTCCAACCCATCAAGATTTTCCGAATTCAGCTTTGCGTGGTGTTCCGCCACAAAGTTCGATATTACTGGCTCCAACGACATAAGGGTACGCGAACGCACTTGTTTTACGATAACGAGTTTGATATACTTCCATGAACTAAATTACATGGCGCAAGCGCCGCTGCAGAACATTCTACATTTTGCCGAGTTATCAGTGCCGGCAATTAATTATTCCATCCTTAGAAAAAGCGCGAGCTTTCCCCTGGTTCCCGATGCGGCTACGGGAAGGAGAGCGAGACAACTCGTGCAGCAGTCCAGATGGATACACCAGGTGTACTGATGTGCCCGATGCCTCACGTGCCTCCGCAACCCGATTTGCACAGGGTTTCGGTTTACGTGCCCGTAACTGCAACCGATTTTTCAATACGCTACAAAGGCAACGTGACACTGCTATGGAATCCCAAGGATGCTGTTCAGATTTGCTAGGCTCATTTATTGCAGAATCCGGTGCTTCGCGTGTTTACGTACTCCGATTTGCACCGGGCTTCGGTCTGCGTGCCCCTATGCATTCTGCTGGCAACGTGTCACTGCCGTGGAATCACCATGATGCTGCTCAGAGGCTTTTTTATTGCAGAATCCGGTGCCTCACGTGCCTTCGTAGTGCGATTTGCGCACGGTTTGGTTCTACGTGCCCCTGTGCACTCTGCAATAAAATATGTTCAGTGCACCCGAGGCAACGTGACACGGCCGTGGAATCACCGGGATGCTGATGGATGCTGCGCAGATCTACTCAGAAGCTCATCTATTGCAGAATACGGTGCCTCGCCTGCCGCCGTAACCAGCTTTGCGCATGGTTTGGTTCTACGTGCCCCTATGCATTCTTCATTAAACCTTATACAGTACATGCGAGACAACGTGACACTGCCGTGGATCGCCAGGATGCTGCTTAGATCTGCTCCGAGGCTCATTTATTACAGAATCCGGCCCCTCGCAAGCCTCCGTGCTCCGAGTTGCACAGGGCATCGGTTTACGTGCCCCTGTGCATTCTCCAATAAATTACACCATAGAGGCAAGGTGACGTTGCCGTGGAATCGCCCGTATGCCGGACCACAGCTGTGAAATGCCCACAACTTTGGTGGGCTGTGACATACAATTCCACTTTGGTGTTTCTTTTGTTGAATTTGTTGTAATTAGCTTCTGCATCGTGTTCTTTTTGATGCGTGCTCTGAAGACTCGTGTTTCTGAGCTGTTGTAGGCCTTCTTTTCGAAGACCTTTGCTCTACATGCCTATCGTGCAGTCGATTTATTGCAGAATGGGTCCGTCACGTCCGAATATTGCAGAATATCTTAAGCCACAGGCTTCGCCGAGCCACTCGTGCCTGCCACCAATGCTACCCTCGCTGAGCTTGGGAATATTTCGGAATCCCACGTGGCGCCGCTCGAGCCGCACGGCCCCTTGCCCCCGGAGATGACCAACTATCGGCTAGAGCAGCCATGCCCGTCCCAGCTTCCCGAGTGGCCTGCGGAGGGTGTGCCGCATGGCGCGAAGCTGCCACAGCCTTTCCGGAACCACCAACGAGCATTTCCGCATCCGGTTGGATGAAGAGGCCGATAGCCAACTTCTGCACTCCGCTGCTCAGCGCCTTGCACAGCTCGACATGCCAGTCCCGGCTTTTGCCGCCATCCGCGTCAACCGGATTGCACAGCGACTCGAAAGCGCATGCTTGCCTTACCAGTACGGCCTCAGCACGCGTCGATCTGCCACGCGTCGTGCGTGCACCGACTGAAGTGCAGCTACACGTGGACTGATGAGGGCGTCGCCTCCCACAACCTTATCGCACAGGCGAAAGGAGGCGAACAAGGCGATCCGCTGATGCCGGCCTCTCGCGAGTAAGCACCCCGCACTCGAAGAAACATCGGCCCGGGCAGGAAGAACGCGAGTTTGGGGAGTTTCTGTGAGGCTGGCAGCATCGTTCTGCCCGCGCCAGCGACAAGCGCGTGCTTGAGGTGCATCTTTCTCACACAAATGCCGCATCTCGAGCGCCAGGCCGGGCCACACGCTGCACGCGCCTTTACAGTCTTCCCGACCTCAGCTGAGTTGATGGTGCCGTCACCACTCTTCCGCGTCCTGCTGTTACGACGCCTTCGTCTGCCACAGCCAGTTGCGCCGCGCACGTGCGCCTGCCTGCCGTGCTCGCCTGGACCCGCTCGGTGACCACACGGCTGCATGTGCGAATGCCGGCGTGCTCGCGTCTCGCGCCCTTCCTCTCGAGCGGGCGGTGGCGAGAGTGTGCCACGAAGCTGGCGCGCGGGTCGCCCGCAACGTCCGCATCGCAGACATGAACCTCGCCCGAGATGGCCGCCCGCATGACGGCGCTGAACACCACCCGGGTTGGGCCGTCCGCGGTGCTGCGCGGCGCAAACGCAGGCAGACGTACCCCGAGATCGACCGCAGCCGACGCTGTCGCCTTGTCGTTTTCGGACTCGAGGTGGGCGGACGCTGGGCTGACGAAGCTGCCACCTTTGTTCGCCTCCTCGCCCGGGCGCGGGCCGCAGGTGCCCCTGCCGCTTTGCGCAACGCCGCCCAGACCGCATGGGTTCTCCGCTGGAGTGGACTCATCTCCGCTGCGGTGCAGCGTGCACTCGCTGCCACTTTCCCTGAGCTTCCCCTTCAGTCTGAGCTTAGTGCTGCTGGCCCGCCACCAGCTTTGCACGAGCTCCTTGCTGACTCTCGCTGGGTCGCCAGTTACCGCCGTAGGCTGCAGATGGCACAGGGACCTCTTTCACGTGCAGTAGCAAAAAGGTGAAGAAAAACAAAAAAAATAAAAACCTCGATGTTCCGGTCTCCATGGTCTCCGATGACAGCCGCATCGAAGTTGTCGCGAACGGGTTGTCGTTGTGGCATGGCGCGCAGCAGGCTGTTGATGCCACCATCGTCAGCCCTGTCACGCGGGCGGGTGCGGCGCAGCCTGGAGCAGACGTGCACCCCGGGCGAGCGGTCGATGCACCCGCCCGACGCAAACGTCACCAGACCTACCCCGAGCTTGTGCGCGCTCGTCGCTGCCGCTTGGTGGTAGTGCCTGCCAAGCAACACCCGGGTGCACTTGGCATGGGTTTGGCGGTCTGCTACG